GCCAGGCCCTGCTCTGGCTTCTGTGAAAAACCTTTCCGTTAAAGACCATTACCTGTGTGTTTAGTAATCATCATAAACCCGGCATTGCCCACCCAAACCACAACCAACCAAAACAACAAAACGCAAACATAACGCTAACACAATTAGAAATACAAACGAAAACAAAAACCTAACAACAAACCCAACCACAACCACAAACACCAATACAAACACAAAGAAAAAACAAACGAAAACAAAAACCTAACAACAAACCCAACCACAAACACCAATACCAAAAAAAAAAAACAACGAAAAAGAAAACAAACCAAATCCAAACGCAAAACCAACCAAAAACACAAATACAAACCCAAACAAAAAAAAACACAAACAAAAACGAAAAAAGAAAGAACAAAAACGAACCAAATCAAAACGCAACCACTAACGCAAACCCACCTAAACACAAAGAAAACACTAACGCGAACATAAACGCCCGGGGCAGAATCGCCTGTTTTAGCTTAATAAACGACTATAGTACCCCAACTTATTCATAGTTTTTGCACTCACTTAAACGAACGCGCCTGTTTCAATTTAATGAACAATTATAATACTCCAAGCTTATCCGTAAAATACCTACAACATTTGCACTTGATCAATCCCCGCTAATTATGTAATTATTTTTTTCCCAACGCCAAAACAAAGTAATTAAAAAGTAAATGCTTTTCAACTAATGCAATGATTTCATAAAGGGAAGTAATTGTGTTTTGCCTAATTTATCAAAGGGAAGTAAGCGCTATAGGACTAAATAAAAACATAATTAGAATTTTTGTAAAAGATGATATTTTTTTTAAAACTTGTGTTTAATGAACATGCCGACAATTATTACTATAATTTGAAAAATGAAAATGATTTCCCAACACTTTTAATAGTAATTTTTTAACTCATAAATTTAGACAAACGCGCACGATAATTGATCTAACACTTAAATCCGTAGAAATGCCAACGACAAACATATGCGTTACAGAATTGAGCTTTATATATTAGATATATATAGCAAATCTTGCTTGCAAACACTGCTGTTAATTTCTAGCCTATATTGATATTTAGCCATTGATTTTGGTTTATTATTCAGTTATATAATATTTGACACATATATCACTATATACTTCTTTGAAAGCCTTAACATTGAGGCAACTTGTTCGCACATTACTAGCCTCAGCTGATTTTAGGCACTTAAAACGATAGATTACCGATAATTCACATAAAGTAAAAGATCTAACTCTCTGCCTTCTATCAAATTTTGAGTAATTTCCATTGACTGGAAGTAGTAATTAACGCTATTTCCAATTTCTCAAAAAATGTATTTGATTTTATAATAAAATAATTATAAAGTACTAATAATATTCCGAACTATTATACACATTGTTTGGTGTTCGCTTCGTGCGCAATTCTTTTTTCTACGAGATTCTATTTTTAAAAGTTTCAGCGTGTTGCTAAGTTTGATCTGATTTAATTTTGTTTCTCCAAGCGTCTTACATTATTTTAACATATAATTATTTCAATTAAATATGCTATTAACAGTTTAGATTAATTTGTGTGAATTATAATAAGCAGTGAGACATTTAAAAATTTGTTTCATTTTCGATAATGGGTAGAACAAAACACTAGCTAAAAATAGATACACACATCTAACTAAAGCAAGGGCACGTCCGAATGCAACTGATTGCAGCTCTACTCAATCTGGCACTATTCAGAGAAGCACTGATGCAGATGCAATATGCACATTCACTAAGAAACTGCTGCAATGTAAGACTCAGTTTTTACAGACAGAAGAAAGCAATGCTACATCTAGTACTGGTAGTGCTAATTGTAAACCAGTCATGCAGAATTATTGTTGACTGTGATTTGCCTCTTGATTTTATCAATAAATGTCCTTGCCCAGAGTGTAACTGTGATAAAGTGGCTACTATTGATGGAAAAAAAAGTGTAAAGGGTTTGCTTCAAGCATGGTGTGGCAGTATTAAAAATGTTGTAAACAGTATGTATACAACTGCAAAAGAATCCAGAACAAGGCCATTCACAATAAACAAAGACATCGTCTTATCATAATTGGCTTTAGACATGAGACCATGCAAAATATACTGCTGTTTCTGCGATAGCATAATTCAGTATTGGGCCCATGCATGCTATGGCATTGCTGTTAAAAGAAGGAAACATAGTCGAAGACTCAGTCAAGGACGCCAAAAAAGACGCCTTCACAACAGCTTTACTACAGCTCTAGGTAAAACAAAGAAAGCCAGAAAAAAAAGGAAACTAACAGCTGAACAAGCTCAGAAGGAATATATTCAGCAGCACCATACTTTAGGCAATAAATGTGGTCAATTTTAGTGACATACAGCGGTAAATTTTCTTTTTTTGCAACTTTTTGTTGATTTTTTGCGTTTTTCTCAGTTTGATACTTTTGTGTACAGTTATTGAAATAACTTCGTTAATAATTAATTCTTTTTTGAAAATGTAATCTATCAGAAGTCTTAAACACGTGTGTCTCCAGACTATATTAAGTTTTTATGAAATTTGTACAAACCATTTTTGAGTTATTTCCATTTAAAAATCGTCAATAAAATTCAAATTTGGCCGCCGTCAACATGGCAACCCGAGGATTTAATAAATTTAAAAAAATATTTTTATGCTTATCTCTTTGAGTTATAACTATTAGCCAAGTATTACATCTTTAGACTCGGAAATCAGGAAGTTGGTACTCATCACCTGCCCATGCCCTTAAGCATCATATACCCAGCACTGCCTGGGTTTTGGGAAAATATATTTCTAATTAAATGTTTGTATGCATATATATTATAACGAGAAAAATGGCCCGTTGAGGAAGGATACAACGGGCGCTAGGTTGATAGTGCTGTCTATTTTCTCTAAACTAAAACCACCCCCCCCCCCCCCCCCCCAAAACATGTCTACTGTCCCATTCAACGAAATATAATTATATTCTTTTTCCAGTGTGCGCCCCCTCCCCAAAAATTCTACCCCCGCCCCCGAAAATTTCAAGTACCCCCACCCCTCTCCGGGGAGGAAAAAGTCTGAAAGAAACATGGTCGCATTTGTAGATCATACAAACTAAAGGAAGAACCTGGGCGGGGCTTCGCCCCTACCAGAAGAGATGCATGAAAAAACTGTGCATGCTAAACACTTTTTAGATTAGAAAAAGTTCCTCCCCGGAATAGTCTGAAAGAAACACTGGTGTCGTGCTTAGCCATTACCCGAAGAATTGCATGAAAGAAACTCTGCAAGCAAATTACTTTTTAGATTAGACACATGAATTAGGCTGTAATTTTATTATAGAGTATCGATGACGACATTTCGCCCCTACCCGAAGAATTGTATATGAAAGAAACTCTTCAATCAAACCACTTTTAAGATTAGACAAAATTGGCTTTTTAATTCAATGTTTACTCGAGAATCAATGACGTCATATTACTGTGTGCACTCTCCGGCTTGATATTATTTTCTACTACATGTTCAATATGACGTCATATTTCGTTTCCGTATTACTATGCATGTTTTTATTTTGCTTGTGTTTTCTCTATAGCGTTCTTGTCAGACAGATAGATACACAGACAGCGAAACTATTAGTATTAATGAAGTTTGAGAAAATATAAATAACCACACATATATATACATACATGTTACACACACACATATAAACACACACATATATCCATACAAACATTTACATTTACATTTACATATATATATATATATATATATATATATATATATATATATATATATATATATATATATATATATATATATATATATATATATATATATATATATATATATATATATACTAGCTGCATACCCGTGCTCCGCCATGAGGAATCTTCTTTAAGTGTATCAACTTGGGAACAGAACAAAACTAAGCACAAAAGAAAACACAACACAAACACTAACACAAAAAAAAACCACAAATACAAACACAATGTAAACACAAATGCTAACACAAAAAACACAAATCAAACATAAACAAAAATGCAAAAAATTAAAACGCTAACGCAAACGCAACACTCATAACATAAACACAACTTAATTTTGTCTCATTTTAAACATAAATAGATATCACTTGTTATCAGCTTGCTTGTTTTTTATAGTCAGTACAAATGTGCTCCCACAAGCACCTTTTGGTTGGCCTACAGATTTGTTTTTTATAGTCAGTACAAATGTGCTCCCACAAGCACCTTTTGGTTGGCCTACAGATTTGTTTTTTATAGTCAGTACAAATGTGCTCCCACAAGCACCTTTTGGTTGGCCTACAGATTTGTTTTTTATAGTCAGTACAAATGTGCTCCCACAAGCACCTTTCGGTTGGCCTACAGATTTGCTCCTTTATCCCTATCAGCTTTAAAACTTCTGTTTCTGTAACTCAGCAAATGGGGGAAATAAAGAATGAAACGGAAAATGTGTGTCAATGATACTCTTTAAACAAAATTTGGGGAGAAGAATAATCCCCAAAAATAAATTTAAAAAAATGTATTAAAATTGCCGCGTAATAAAGCACTAAAATTATTTTGCTAAAAACACACTGCACAGACTTTGGTATTAAAGTCTTCTTAGCCATGCTATTTGATTCTATTTAAATTAAAGAGTATTAAGGAATACACTTATATTAGCACTAAAAATAAGGAATAAAAAAATTCTTTAAATATATAACTGTGCATCACTATTTCAATGACTACAAAGAAAAGCGTGGGTCTCTATATCATGTATTAAATGGTGACCAGAAAATGGGCTGTTAAAACTGCACCACAAAATAAATAAAAGCTAAGAATGACTGCATATGCATTATAGTACAATGAAACCATTTTCCTACATAATATTATCAAATTAATGTGTATTTTTTTTTTTTTTTTCATTTTGTTTGGACATTTTTCTGTTGCACATTTTTTCCTTGAACATATTATATACCTTTTTTATTATAAAATTGCTGTTGTATTAATTTTTTTCTTAAATAGAATAAATGTGGTCAAGAAACAAAGATCAGTCAGAGTTTTGTGTTGTTAGCTGTCTAACTAAAATGGTTGCTCATGTTTCTGCAATGCTATTTCCTATCATTATCATTTACAGTGCAACTCCAGGCTCAAGTAAGTTAAATTGAATTTCTTGTAGACGATTAAACTCAACTTGTCTTTACAAGGTTGTGTCATTTACTTTTACATATTAGTAGTCAAGTAAAAAACAAAAATGCATTTTAACATTTGATTTACTTAAAACCCTGGTAGTAGTGGGGGTCTAGCATAACTCCCCTGCAAATTACCATCGTGCCAAAAAAAGCTAGAGTAAGAAATTAACCCCTCCTTCCATTTTATTACCACTTACTTTCACCATGACTAATAGTGCACTGTTGGATGAGGACGTAAAAGCCGTATCAACAAGGCCAGATGCACCTTCAACTCCCTACGCCCAATATGGAATTGCACTGCTATGTCACTCTATAGCAAGATAAGAAGCCTCAACACAAATGTTAATACAGTATTGTTTTATGTTTCCGAGACCTGGAGGGTTACCTGGAGTTACCAAAACAAATACAGACAAGCTGCAGTCATTCACAAACAGATGTTTACTACAGATCCAATAAAGACTTGTGGCAAAACACCAAACAAAAGCTAATAGACAGGGACATAAAAGCCTGCAAATGGGGATGGATAGAAGATAAGATTGTGAGGAAAACAGATTAGAACCCCAAGGGGATGAGGAAAGTAGACCGGCCAAGAAAATCCTGGAGGAGGACAATAAAAGATGAGGCAAGAGCTGCTCGGCTTACAGTCTGATAGAGAGGTGTGGTTGCTTCCCTTTGCTCCTCCTGGTCCACAATAAGTGAATGATGTTGTGGATGATGTTTACATATAACAAGTACACACTATTGCAAAGTTGGTAGACTGAACTTGTTAAAATTGTGAATTTTTGCTGCAAAAGATGTGAAACTTCTTATACCCTATTGTGAGGCTGGTTTTTATGGGGCTTGAGTTTAAAATCTAGCTTATCTTTGAAGGACATCAATTTTTCGGCTTGGCTTGAGTTATTTAACTCAGCAAAATTTTTAGTTATTTAACTGAGCTATTTTGTTACCCCTTCTCCCTTAACAAACCCCTGAATGTTCTTATCTTGTTATATTTTTAGGTTTGTTTTCATGGCATCCAACATTAATGTCTATAGGGGTAAGTATGTTTATTCTTGACAGAAGTCAAATCATATTATGTTCAAGAAATTATTTACTATTTTAAATAGGGTCATCCATTAGTGACCTCCACAAAAAATGTTGTTTTTAAAAATCCTGCCACCATTTTGACATATAGACCCCACCTCCTCAACACTTCCTTCTGTGTGGATGTCCACACAATTAATGAAAGTATTTTTTCAGCTGTGTTATTCTTCTTTACTTACCAAATCAATTACGAAGTGTTTGAAAGCTAAAACACTGACTCCTAAAGAAAAATGGTATTTAAAAAAATTGAACCTATGAATATCTAGTAAGAGCATAATTTGAATGGAAACCCCTAATAGTAATAAGTGCCTTAGAAAGATGGTCTAAATCTGCTGACCTGCAACTGTCAACTTCCTGTTAGGAAGGACATCTAAGAAGCAAAATTGGCTTGGGGAATATTTAACAAAACAGCTTAACAGTACACTACCCCAAGGTTATTCCAACATAACCCCCAGATCAATTATACTCCTGTATATCCCCCTTCGACACCAATAAGGATAAATTGACTCTGATGATAAAATTTTACATAAACCCAATCTATATATATAAAAAGCAATGTATGTTTGTTCGTTTTTTTGTCGTTTATGCATTACTATACCTCTTATCACATCGCCGTGAAACTTTAGGAAGTTGTTGAGAATATCCCTGGGGAGGTTTCTGCGAAAAAAAAGTCGAATTTGCAGGGGTAGCGCCCCGGTAGGGCGCGATCGGTTTATTCTCTTTATACGGTATATAAAAATATAAGTCGATTGAGGTTTCTCACCCTTCATCCGATCGCCATCAAACTTTGGGGGGTTCATTTGGACACTCCAGGGAAGGGTTCTGCAAAATAACCATTTTTAATTTCGCAAGGGCGGCGCCATGTATGGTATATAAAAATAAAAGTCGATTTTGGTTTGACACCATTCATCCGATAGACATGAGACTTTGAGGAGTTGATTAGAACACTCTGGGGAAGCGTTTTGTAAAAAAATCATTTTTAATTTCGCAAGGGTGGCGTCACGGGAGGGTGCGATTTTTCTCTATATACGGTATAATAAAATAATAAAAGTGAATTGCAGTGACACTGTTCACACGATCGCTATGAAACTTTGGAAAGTTGCTAAAAATATTTCTGGGGAGGGTTCTGCGAAAAAAAAAAATCAAATTCGCAGGGGCGTCGCCCCGGCAGGGCTGATTTGTTTTTTTCTCTATATCAGAATATAAAAATAAAAGTCGATTGCCGTGTTACACCGTTCATGCGATCGCCATCAAACTTTGGGGAGTTGATTAGAACACTCCTGGAAAGGGTTCTGTAAAAAATCATTTTTAATTTCGCAGGGGCGGCATCACGGGAGGGTGCGATTTTTTTTTTTTTATATAGGGTATATAAAAATAAAAGTCGATTGTGGTTTGACATCGTTCATCCGATCGCCATAAAACTTTGGGAGTTAATAAGAACACTTCAGGTGAGGTTTCTTCAAAAAAATCTTTTTTTAATTTCGCAAGGGCGATTTTTCTCTATATACGATATTTATATATAAAAATAAAAGTCAATTTTGGTTTGACACCGTTCAACCGATAGGCATGAGATTTTGGGGAGTTGATGAATACTCCCGAGAAGGTTTCTGTGGTGGGGGAGGGGGGGATTTGATTTTGCATGGGCGGCCCCCCGGCAGGATGCGATTTGGAGCTCTGGTCTATCCGGTGAGCGCTATGGCGACTACGTTCTGTCTAAACAGTGTGATAGACAATGGATATGATGGGGCGTTACAAACGCTCACTAAATTGAATCAGGCGTGTCTTCGTGCGCCTTGGTAGGGTGCGATTTGGCTGCTAACAAAAATTTCAGTTTCGGCCCCCAAAGGCTCACATGGGCCATGTAATACGTTTTATTTTAATAATCAGAAAAATTAACCAAAGTTAGATTATTAACTGGGATTTTTCTTTTTGTCCGTAAAAAAAATCCAGTTTCATCACTTTGCGAATAATGCAATTAGCATCTATTTTTAGACAATCCAATCAGAAATTGCGATCGAGCATCTAATAATAGACCATTGGTAACGCTAACATATTGCATCAGTCACACTGTTGTTTAAAACACGTCAAATAATTTTTTTACGTGTTAAAGAAAAACTCCTGTTCATTTGTGTCACTTTAGCGAATGACGCAATCTGCATCATTGTAACAGGATGCTATTTGGCACGATGGCACCTGTTAGTTTTAAGGAGCCAGGGGCCGTACGCGGTAGTGTAATCAGGGGGGGGGGAAGGAGGGGCTCCTGAGAGCGCAACTCTATGTCCCTGTCACATGGGCGGTCACCGTAGTGTGTTCTACCTCAATATTTCGGTGAGTTATTAATGTACACTCAAGGTTTTCATGCGGTAGTGAAGGTAATCCTGTGTCCTGATATAATACATATGATCCTATGATCCAAGCACAGGCATTGTTTACATTTAAATAACTCACTTTTAGAAAAACAAGGTCACGAGTCTAAGAATATAGGATTGGTAACGCGTGGAAGAAACACTTATATATTTTGTCGGACTTACTTCTATTTCCGCAGCAATGCGTGGGGACGGGTACGCTAGTTGTAAGATAATTTTAAGTTAAGGCTCGGATGAAAGTTGTGAAATGTTTTAGAGGGAGTTTGCTTATTCCACACTTTCTCTGTGATACTCTATAGAATGCCAAGGGAAAGTAAAAAAAAGTGATTTATTTTGTACAATGTGTTTCTCGAGAAGGGGATAATTAACATGGGGTTTAATTGATCTGTGGGTAATAGCAGTGTGGTTATTGACTGGGTAATGTCCTAGATCCACACTGATCTTAAAAACCCACCCCAAGATTGTAGAAAGTAGGGTTATAATAAAAAGGAACATGTATCTAAGATCTAACGCTAACCCTAACCCCAAAAAATAAATGTCTGAAAGAAACACTGGACGGCCAATACCCAGAAGGTAGAAGTAAACAGCAGAAATGTCTAATGTGAAGTCATAATGTGACAAAAAGGCCCCCTTACCTAGTGATCAACTAGTAGAGTCTAGTGAGTCCTAAAAAAATATGTCTATACATGGCATCAAATTGGACATGCTAATATATTCATCAATTACAAATTTATAGGGTTCACTTTAAGGTGGTGATTTTTTAGTTGAAACTTTGTTTTAAATTTTTAAAGAATTAATTAGGTTTTAATTTTATAAGAATTTCAAAAAAAAAAAAGCCTCACTATCCTGAAATGTCCCCCCCCCTTTCCTACACCCAAAAGTGCTGTTGTGTGGGTTGGGTGCCAAAGGCTTTCGACCTAGTCATACTAATGCTATAAATACAAAATACGGATATAATGAATTTATTTCCAATAAGCTGTTTGTTAATTAAAGGCAATGCAGTTTAAATGTATATATTTTGTACCCAAATGAAGTGGAGTTCTGTGTTTGTAGAGCCTGTAAGTGTAGCTCCATATGGTCCTGAACCCTTCTTACTTTAAGCCCACATGTGTAAGATTAGGTCAGTTGTGTAAAGGGGTCATAAATGGATGACTATTTTTACAATTACAATAAAAAATTTAAAATATAGCATAATCATGTTGATTTTTAAAAAATCCTTTTATTCAAAGTGTACTTTGCTAATGGTAGAAGGGATTGTCATCTTCTCTAAAAGCTCATCCCTTTTCCCACAAAAGAATCGCTCATGGAAGGCATCATTCCACTATTTGTTAATGGCAAGTGGAGTCAGTTGTGTTGTTGCTGGTATGCTCTCTTTTTTTATTTCCTAGTTAATGTTTAATTAATCTATAATATTAATAAAGTGTTTTAGTTTTATATAAAGCAGTAATATACTGTTCTTAATTTTTTTTTTCAAATATTCAGTGTTAAAAAATATTGATATGCTTACTTATTACTTAGTATCCTTAAAACAAAATCTCTAAGTAGGGGCTTACTGTTATCTCAATTTATCAGCCATGTAACTCAAGTCTGTAGCCAAGAAAACTCTTGTGTTAAAGATGTTATCAGTGGTTGATAAGTTTGCTAGAATAATAATGAATAAATTCAGGCAAACACCAAATAAAAATAGATTACTTTTTCTCTAGTGTTTCAAAAAATAATTTTTGTAATTTAGCATTACTAGGAATAGGCTGTTTGGGAACTAATATTGGACGCAGCGTGAATAATCTCGAATGGTTCATTGAATATTTTAAAAAATCAGATGTGATGTTATTAAAATAATTGTGGTTTTAAAAACTTTATTGTGAGGTTTTTTCTGACCTTACTAAAGATTGGGTGTATTTGATGTTTTAAAAAAGCCAAAAATAATAATTATTTTTTTTCATTTTATTTTATCATTTAAAATGTAAATAGAAATGGCATAGCTAGGTCATGTGGTTAAAAAAAATTAGTGTTAGTTAAATTTTTTTGGCAAAGTTTTGAGTATAAATTAAAGTTGGGTTTAAGAAGATTGATCATGGAGTTTCTGTACAGCCTATCAGTGTTTGTCTCACAAAAGTGAAACTTCACATCATAATTTAATCTTGATGAAAGTAAATAGAAATGTAGCCTTAAATGCAAAAATTATTTTTAAGTTATCTGCATTTGCTACTTTTATAACATTGATTCTAAAAGTTGTGATAGTTTTTTTTTAAATTATTTCAACTGTAATCATTGCACAATATTTATAATGCTGAAGAAATTACATTTTGTTTTGTAACATTTAATGATGTATTTTTTTACTTCTAATTTAAACGTGAAACAAATATTTATGATTTTTTTCTTTTACAAGGCTTAGTTGTAATTTATATTAACAAAGAACAGTCAGGCAAATCTCATTTCAAGACTTGGCATGGCTTACTTGGAATAATAACTGTTGGCTATACTTGTGCTCAATCGGCAGGCGGGGCTTTGGCAAAATATTATAAATACGTCGGTGACATTATTAAAGTGAGTATTTACATAAAGCAATTGGGGCCATGGTAAAATGTAAAAAATAAGTAGTTGGCATTATTAAAGTTTAAAGAATAATAGTATGTAGATATCAGTGGCAGAAATATTGACCTAACTTGTATACCATAGAACAACAATTTAAAAAAGATAATTTTAATTAAAATAATGAAATTCAAAAACACCCCTGGCTGAATTTTCCTCCAGAATAAATAGTATAAAGACATTTTAAAACTGAAAATGACAATTTATTCAAGAGGTCTAAAGCGATTTGAATGAAAGTTATAATTTCGTTATAATTTCGAAATATATTAGAAGGGTTTATCAATGCATTAGCAATCCTATATTAGCAATCCTATATTAGCAATCCTATATTAGCAATCCTATATTAGCAATTCTATATTAGCAATCCTATATTACTATTAGCAATCCTATATTAGCAAGCCTATATTCTCAAACATGTGATCTTTTTTTCTAAAAACTGACTTATTTAAATGTAAACAGTGTCAGCGCTTGGATCAAATTTATCAGGGCTAGGGTTTATCTACACTATCAAATGAAAGCCTTGAGTGTACATTAATCACACATCGTAATAGTGAGGTAGAACACACTTCAGTGACAGCCCAGGTGTCAGGAGCATAGAGGTTCGCTCTTGGGAGCCCCCGATTATACTACAGCAGGGGCACCTAACGAAGGTGCCTTGGTGCTCACAGGATAACCCAGGCCTCCAAATAACATCCTGAGGGGGTGCCTGCAGACGCACTTTATTAGATTTATTGCAAGACTATAATGCCCCATTTTATCCATAGTCCATTGCACTTTTTAAAATGAACGAAGGCGCCATAGCGCTCAAGGAATAACCCATAAATCGTATCTTGTCGGTGGCGCTGGGGGACGTGCTTGATTATATTTAGTGAAAAACTCTAAAACTCCATCTCACTCATAGTCTTTCGCACTGTTTAAAATGAACGTAGGTGCTCACAGGATAGCCCGGGGCACCAAATCGCAACCTGCCTTGGCGTAGGCAGGCGCGCCTGATTCAATTTATTGAACGACCATAATGCCCCATTTTATCCATAGTCTATTACATGTTTAAAACAAATGTAGTTGTCATAGCGCTCACAGGAGTATTCTCAACAACTTCTCAAAGTTTCTTGCCGATCGGATGAAAAGTGTTGTAGAAAGTATTGCGTTTCCCTTTATGCATGTCTAGATTAGCCAATTGTTTCTGACAATAACTGTATTATATAGTGGTTACTGGTAGTGTTGCCCCAAATTTTTCAGCCATGAACAAAGTACCTGGGGTCTTCTGTTAGGGCATCCTATGCTGTAGGGTTCATGGGTTTAACTTGTATCAACAGTTAAACTGAGCCAACAGGTGACTCATGTTGTAGCGAGACTTATCCCTAGTGTCTGTAGGGGCCAAACTGCTCATGTGTGATGTGCTGTCGGATGACACTGCTGCTAGTGGATTCAAGTAGTAACCCTAACCCCTGTGTAGGACACGCAATGCTAGGTGCCAAGATAAGCACTGGGGATCTCGGGGCGCTAAATAACATTTCTGTGGGGCCACTCCAATAAGTAAACAAATGTTAGGACTATGATAAACCTTTACGGGGTTGTTCTCAACAGATTCCCAACTTTTCATGGCGATAAGATGATTGATGTAGTAATGCATGTAAGACAGAAACATGTTTTTTTACTTGTATAACTGTATGTGGCCAGATCATGCTTCGGATAACCCTCACACTTTTTTAACGATTTACAAAAAGCCAGACCTAAATGACATTTTTAATAGTAACTAGCGTACCCGTCCCCGCGCGTTGCCGCGGGAATAGAAGGGTTTCATCCATACGTTACCAACCCTATATTCTTAGACGCGTGACCTTGTTTTCTAAAAGTTAGTTATTTAAATGAAAACAATTCCTGCGCTTGGATCATAAATACCGCGACACGGGTTTACCTACACTACCGCGTGAAAACCTTGTGTGTATATTAATCACTCACCGAAATAATGTGGTAGAACACACTTCGGTGACCACCCATGTGTCAGGGACGTAGAGGGGCGCTCTCGGGGCCCCCACCCCCGATTACACTACCGCATAGGCGCGGCGTACGACCCCTGGCTCCTTAAAACTAACAGGCGCCATCGGCCAAATAGCATCCTGTTAATGATGATGCAGATTTCGTCATTCGCTAAAGTGACACAAATGAACAGGATTTTTTTCTTTAACACAAAAAAAATTATTTGACGTGTTTTAAATATCAGTGTGACTGATGCAATATGCTAGCGTTACTAATGGTCAATTATTAGATGCTCGATCTCAATTTCTGACCGGATTGTCTAATAATAGGTGCTTATTGCATCATTCGCAAAGTGACGAAACTCTACAGCAGGCTCCTCATATTTAAAAAGTTATTTTTTCATCTTTCGCAAGGTGACGAAACTGTACAGAAGGATTTCCTTGCGTTACAAAGTTATTTTTAGAAGCCCGTTGTAGTTTTACCGCTGAATATAGTAGTACCCCTTACTCGCTATGCAGGACGCTCGATTAACGGATGCCAAGTGCCAACTTAGTCGCTCTAAAACTCTGGGCGCCAAACCGTGTATTGACGAAAGTTGTACCCTATATGGCGCCGCCCGTAAGAAACTTTAGTTTTCTTTTTCGCAGAAATATTCTCGGGAGTATTCTCATCTACTCCCTAACGTTTCATGGCACTCGGATGAACCGCATCCGAGTTTTATTTTTTATATACCGTGTATAGAGAAAAAAAATCGCTCCCCCCTGGGGGCGCCGCCCTTGCAATATTAAACAATATTTTTTGCAGAACCCTACCATTGAGTGATCTAATCATCTCCCCAAAGTATCATGGTACACGGATGAACGGTGTGAAAACGAAATTTTATAAACCCTATATAGAGAAAAATCGCAGCCGCCCGTGGCGCCGACCTTGCGAAATTAATAAAGGTTTTTTTTACAGAACCCTTCCCTGTATTGTTCTAATAAACTCCCCCAAAGTCTCATGGCTATCGGATAACGGTGTCACACCAAAATCGACTTATTTTTATAAACCGTATATTGAGAAAAATCGCACCCTCCCGTGGCGCCGCCCTTGCGAAATTAAAAAATGATTTTTTACAGAACCCTTCCCTAGAGTTTTATAATGAACTCCCCAAAGTCTCATGCCTATCGGATAAACGGTGTCACTGCAATTCACTTTTATTTTTTGTATATACCGTAAATTTTGAAAAATCGGACCCTCCCGTGGCGCCGCCCTTGCGAAATTAAAAATTATTTTTTTTACAGAACCCTTCCCTAGAGTGGTATAATGAACTTTCAAAAGTCTCATGGCTATCGGATGAACGATGCCAAACCAAAATCGACTTTTATTTTTATATACCGTATATAGAAAAAAAAACAAATCTCGTCGTGTCGGGGCACCACCCCTGCGAATTTGAAATATTTTTTTTTTCGCAGAAATATCCCCATGAATATGTGTGAACGGTGTGAAAACGAAATTTTATAAACCCTATATAGAGAAAAATCGCAGCCGCCCGTGGCGCCGACCTTGCGAAATTAATAAAGGTTTTTTTTACAGAACCCTTCCCTGTATTGTTCTAATAAACTCCCCCAAAGTCTCATGGCTATCGGATAACGGTGTCACACCAAAATCGACTTATTTTTATAAACCGTATATTGAGAAAAATCGCACCCTACCGTGGCGCCGCCCTTGCGAAATTAAAAAATGATTTTTTACAGAACCCTTCCCTAGAGTTTTATAATGAACTCCCCAAAGTCTCATGCCTATCGGATAAACGGTGTCACTGCAATTCACTTTTATTTTTTGTATATACCGTAAATTTTGAAAAATCGGACCCTCCCGTGGCGCCGCCCTTGCGAAATTAAAAATTATTTTTTTTACAGAACCCTTCCCTAGAGTGGTATAATGAACTTTCAAAAGTCTCATGGCTATCGGATGAACGATGCCAAACCAAAATCGACTTTTATTTTTATATACCGTATATAGAAAAAAAAACAAATCTCGTCGTGTCGGGGCACCACCCCTGCGAATTTGAAATATTTTTTTTTTCGCAGAAATATCCCCATGAATATTCTCAACAACTTCCTAAAGTTTCATGGCGATCGTGTGAACGGTGTCACGGCAATTCACTTTTATTATTTTTATATACCGTATATAGAAAAAAATCGCAACCTCCCGTGGCGCCGCCCTTGCGAAATTTAAAATGATTTTTGTTAAGAACCCTTCCCTAGAGTGTTCTAATCAACTCCCCAAAGTTTCATGCCTATCAGATAAACAGCGTGAAATCAAAATAGACTTTTATTTTTATATACCGTAAATAGAGAAAAATCGGACCATCCCCTGGCGCCGCCCTTGCGAAATTAAAAATTATTTTTTTACAGAACCCTTCCCTAGAGTGGTATAATGAACTCCCCAAAGTCTCATGGCTATCGGATGAACAGTGTGAAATCAAAATAGACTTTTATTTTTATATACCGTATATAGAGAAAAACAAATCGCGCCCTGCCGGGGCGCCACCCCTGCGAATTTGAAATATTTTTTTTCGCAGAAACCTCCCCAGGAATATTCTCAACAACTTCCCAAAGTTTCACGGCGATGTGATAAGAGGTGTGGTAATGCATAAAAGACACACAGACAGACAGACACACACACAAACATACATTGCTTTATATATATATATATATATATATATATATAGATAGATATAAATTAATTCATTTACTTATAAATTACCTTTTCTGAAATATTAAAAAAAAAACCGGTACATCAGGAAAAACTTGAAAGGGACTGCAAAGTGGTGATGTATGTCTGAATTTGGGATGGTACTTCTCCCAAAGCCTATTATAAAACTTACTCAGGGGAAATAATTCAAAGTATAGGCCCTACAAGTTTACTATTATCTTTCTTGTTAAATTAAAAACAAGTAAACTTATACAAAACTGAAGTTACTAGTATTATATTCTTTTTTATTATATGTAGGATACAGGATAAAAGTTTTACTAATATTGGCAACATATATTTTACATTGAAAAATGTACAATGGATTTCGGGCCCCTAACCAATGCCGCAACGAAGTACCGCACACCATGAACGCCCACTACATATCTAGCAGCTTCTCGAGCTATGGACTTTGTTTTTTTTTCCAAAGAATTTTGCCAGCGACAGCGTGTGTTTGATTGTAGGGGAAATGGAACATCGACAGTAGAAAAAAAATTCAATTACAAATAACTTTTTCTAATATAAATAAATTTGACGACAATTTTTGAGCCACCTATTTGGTCCCCACCCCTGCCCCATTACTTTGGAGGACCGATTGAACAATGTGTGTACATGTTAAGTGGCCCCTATTTGGCTATCCAAGGGGTGCAGCGAGTCACAGAAGTCATTAAAATTATAAGATTTGCCTATATTTTACACTACAGCTTGTAGTGGTTTTAAATTTGCGGAAGAGTTAGGGTTTGATTTTGTGACAAATATAGTAGCTCAAAAAAAAAACAAAAAAAAAAAACAACGTAGGTGCCATAGAGCTCATGGGAAAGCCCTGGGTGCCAAATCACACCTCAGCAAAATTTATGTTTTTTAGAAACCTCCTCAGAAGTATTCTCATCAACTTTCCAAAGTTTCTTGGCACTATGATGAACTGCACCCGACTTTTATTTTTATATACTATACAGAAATATTGCATTGTACCCTGCTTGGGCGCTACCCCTCAGAAATGAAAATTTTTCTTTGCGAAACCTTCCCTGGAGCAAGTGTTTCTTCCAGACTTTTTTTCTCCGGGGGGGGGGGGTAGACTTTCTTTGGGTGGGGGGTGGCGGACCCTGTTAAAAGTATATATTTTCTATATGAATTATATAAATTTTATTTCGTTCGGGGGGGGGGGGGGGGGGGGCGGTAGACTTTCTTTGGGGGGGGGGGGGGCGGACCCTGTTAAAAGTATATATTTTCTATATAAATTTCATTTCGTTCGGGGGGGTGGGGGGTGGTGAAGCCCCCCCCCCCCCCCACCGAAGAGATGTTTGGAAGAAACTCTGCCTGGAGCATTCCCAATAATATCCCAAAGTTTAATGGGGATCAAGTGAAAGGTTTAGTAATGGATAAAGGACAAAGCCAGCCACATACACATTTACTATAGAATCTATATTTAGATGAAAGTAAAGGCAACACAGGGTTCGTACTGCTTTTATTAAACGACAATTGTAAGTACTGGTAACACATTCACACGGTCAGTCGTGCCACAAAATCTCTTCCCTCCCTTCCCCTCTTCTCCCAATGACGTAGTAACTGAGCATCCGTTTTCTTGGAGTAAATTTACTTAAAAATCGTAATTTTTTATTTGGAAAATATGGACTACGAAGTTTTGTTTCTTAAACTAGATTCCAGACTTTTTAAAAATCCTGCCCAAAAACTAGCGATTTTCCAGACTTCTTTAAGTCTTAAATTCACTTTTTGAAATTCCAGACTTTTTCCAGACTGCGTACGAACCCTGGCAACAACAAACTAATGTTTTATGTCAGTTTGGGGTTTCTAATTTAACTCCCAATTATTTTTTTATTTTACAGATAAAACTTACAGATTTAAAGCTGTATCATGCCACTTCAGGCCTTTTGGCTTACCTCTTAGTGACGACTACAATGATTCTAGCACTACAGACAAACTGGGCAGCCAGCAATATTCATTGGCTCCTTTGGTACGCAAGTCTAGCATGTGTTTGTTCATCTGCTCTGGTGGTCATGACACACATCACAACAACTTACATGCCTAAATCACAGCAAACAAAGTCTTAATGTAAGAAATTCAGCAAATTATTTTAATCAGATTAGAGTATTGGTATCTCTAGGCCACTCATGTTTACTGCATTAATAAAAATTTATTGTTTTTGTTGGTTTTGAAGTTTTTGATTAAGGGATTAAATTTTGCAGTTGTAAAATAGTTTTAATTAACCAGCCTTTTGTTTGGTTACTCCTAGATCTAGATTTTATATTTTCATACGTTGTCACACGTGTTGTTCACCTCATTCAGGATTATGTAACCACATCATGACATGGGATTAGTGTAGCACATAAACCCAACCAAATTATATATTGAGCAAGTTTTAAATAAGTTTATCTGCTAGCATGTTCCTTGCATGTTCCTTTATCTGATCTTAGTAAAAAAGAAAAAAAAGACACAGTAGACTCATCATTTTATGAAGTTCACAAAAAATTCTCATTTCTGCGTAGACCTCTCAAATCTTAATTGAATAGAAGCCTTAATTAGTAATGTCTATATAAGTAAACTATTAAGTATGAATGAGTGCTTAGTTTATTTGAATATTTTTCCTTGTGTAACAGTTCCTCAGTGTGGTTGTGAGTCACCACTGAGGGTAGTATGTGTAGGGGCTGATTCTGAGATCGGGTTACCCTTGGCTTTACAATATAAAAACTAGGATATAATTATAAATGTTAGTAATCACAGACCATAACCCAGTCAGATCAACAAGGATTTTTAACAGTTATGCCACCTATATATGTGTATATACTAGCTGCATACCCGAGCTCTGTCACAGGTAATCTTTTTAAATGTACCAACTATGGAACAGAACTAAACACACACAAAAGGAAACACAAACCCAAAAACAACACAAACACAAAAACAACACAAACACAAAGCAAACAAAAGAAAACCCAATACAAATGCAACACAGAAACACAAAAGAAATGCAGAGCAAACACAAACCCACAGCACTCAAGGACAGCCCATCATGCAAATTCAAGCCGGGCGCCAGCATACGCGCCTGATTCTATTTAGTGAACAACTATAAACCCCAGCTTGTCCGCAAACCGAAAGATTAAAGTAAATGGGACGTTTTGGAGTGGTTTCTAAACTGTTATTGATTAAAAATAATTATTAAACAGTACATTCAGTAGGTAGTCCAAACTGAAATTAACTATTGATTGCAGACTTCTGGAGTGAGTATGTCATGAAAGAACTTTTAATTGTAAGGTCTATGCCACAAATTTTATAAAAATATCTCAATAAATAAAAAAGTTATGCGATTTTTAAAAAAGCAAAATTTGGTAAAAAACTGATTTTCAAAAAGTGCCATTTTTTTGAACCCATATTTTTTAAACTAAATAACATAGAAGTGTGGAAATTGGTAAAGTTGCTGCAAAGTTTGTAATATATATGCCCAATTTTTTTCAGTCATCTAAAATGAGTCTTTCTAAGGTAAAAAAATAATTGAAAATGACAAAAATGCGTTTTGGTCACTTTTATTTTCATTAAAAAAAAATTTTTTTTTTTGCTTTGGAATAACTCTAAAATTATTGTGTTGGTAACATCGACGTGGAAAAATGTGTTAATTATTTTCAAAAATCACATGAGTTAAAATATTATTTTAAAAAATACCACAGTTATCTAGTGCAGGAGAAACAGAATCAAAATTTAGTAGAGTAAATGTAATGTAATGTAGTTTAATAAAGACGTGATGCCTACAAGTGATGCAGCAGTTGATGCCACATGCTTTGGTTTCTTTTCAAACCTGATAACTGCTTTGGGGGAACAGTTTTGGGGGAACATCTTTGTACGTCTTGTTTCCCTCAACCTTGATCTTGTGGAGCATCAAGAGTAAGTGATATGTTTTGGGAATTGTAGGGGGGAGGGGGGAGTGGGGTCTTGGCCTTCTTCCCTTCCCTTGTAAGGAAAGTTCTGGATAGGCCACCGTAAATGTCTCCAGCTATGGAACGAACAATTGATTTAGTGATTAATAAAATATAATTAAATTTACTACTAGCCTATTGTGTAGGCCTACTATTTGTCCTATGACTATAACTGGAAACATATGAAAAAGCCTGAAAACACCTTTTTGTTAAAAGTAATTTATATTTTTTATATATATTTTTAAGAGTAATTCTACTGAATGAAATTTGAAATAATCGTTGCTTGTCCCACAATGGTTGAGATATCCAATGATGAAGATGCCATACTGTGGTTCTCAACATCCTATAGGACAACTTAACTGTCCTTCATTGTTACTATTATATGCATATAAAATAAATAAATAAGGAGAAATGCTACTAGTACTACTTACACTTACAACTAATATAACATTTAAAACTAAGTCACAACATGTACAATCTTAATAAATTGCACAACCATCTAAAAATTGATCTGGTACATTTTATTAAGGAGACTGGCGCAGACCATTTCACATTATTCAGCAGGGGAATCAGAATCAGAGTGCACAACAGAAAATAAAAAAAATAATCACATTAGTCCTTCAAATTTAGTGTCTTTTGTTTTAAATACATTGATAAAAATGTATAGTTATTATAATTATAAATTTCTTTTGTGTTTCATTAGTATTTTATAAGTATTTAACCTTCGTTCCCTGTAAATAATTGAGTTCGTCCACATAGTAACCAGGATAGTCTGGTGGCCATTTTGAATTTGTCGATTCATAATTTTGACGTGATAGTCCAGATAAACTGTAGTAATACGACCCTATCATTGATCCCAGTCAATAGATTTTAAAGAATTAGTAAACACTAGCATCTAATAGTTAAGTGCATCCATATTTCAAGTCCCTAGAATGTCCTGAATTAAATAGCTTCACGTCTAAACACACCATGTGTACAAGCGTAGTTCACACGCTAAAACCGTGGCCTTGTAGCGTTCAAATTTACATTAATAACGTGTACTAATTAAACCAAACTGACATTCAAACTTAAAATTCATTTATTAAAATGGAAATGAAACTTTAAAAATGATACTTACAACTTGTTTGAAGGCTCTAGCAAGGGTAAAATCCGTTTAGCATCATCGGTCGTCAACCTTTAAAACCGTTCGGCGAGCAACTTACTCGGGGCTGAAAGTCGACTCGAGGGTTATATGTTTATTGGGGGTACGGCTTCGCGACCGTAAATCAGAAATACTTGAATTTACAACACAAAGTAGTTATAAAACTGAACTTTACATCGGTGTAAAAATTGAAACAGAATTAGTTTGTTTCCGTGTATATATCGTCATTTAAAGTTTAAAATCTGTATTTTTTAAATGAAATAAACAAGTTATTTTTTCAATTTATACATCAAACGATAGCCTAGAATTCGATCTTTAAAATGACATTAAGATTATGCTTCTACGATGCATCGTCGCGAAGCCGCGACCAAATAAAACAGTGTGGGGTCGATCGGTACACGCAAAACGGTGAAATTTGTTGACGTAACTGATACTTTTCAAACAAATATAAAACACATTCAAACATGTGTTACAGATATAAAAATACCAGATTACGACAGATAAAGACTTAAACTTTATTGACATATAATTTTTATTCTTATAGGACAACTAGAAGTAGTGAAATTTTTTTTTTGAAAACCGCAAAAACTGACCCTAAAACGCACTTTTTCGCCAGTTTGGACTACCTACATTCAGTGTATAAAATAAATAAAGTAGTATTTAAAATATGTGTTTTACCTAGCATATTGCATTACACCAATCCATGCTAATAATATTCCAATAATAATGTACTCTAGGATTTTGCACACATTTTTTAATTAGCAGGAGTTGAATTTATTTTTAAATTACCTCCCCTGGCATAACTATTAAATATTTTAAATGATTAGTTTTTTAGACCCTACTGTTATTAAAATGTATCCACTTTTTCTAGGAATCTTAACGAAAATTATATTTGACATTGATATGTTTTAGCAATGTGCGTGTATTTAATATTTTCTTCAAGTTGTGCAAAAGTTAAAAAACTGGCAACTATTTACTTTTATGGTTCCAAAATCTATAGCCATGAGGGAAGGACTGACACTACCACCAGCGTTATATTATAGATGTGTGTATGTAAATGTGTACAGTTAACCGAACCTGCAGTATTTACATATATTCTATATAATGCCAAAGAATTAGAAGTGTTGAGTACATCCCTCTTTAAACCATCTTTATTTAGAGATGAGATAAATATAACTTAATGACTCTTGATATCCATCATTTTTTTATGAATTTGGGTGACAGCTAGTCTCCATTTCTGCATCCATTCTGCAAATGTTTTGCCATCTGTAAGTACCCAAGGTGCGCTCAACTGAGCTGGCTGCTCCCACCTGAAAAAGAAAACAACAGCATACATTTTCTATATTCAAGTCACTAAAGTCTTAGAAAAAACTCTACTACTACTGATTTTTCTAATAATTCAACTAAAAGTATTTGCATACACACTTTTCAGAATGTTCAAATTGACGTTGTGGAAGCCTAGTATTCAATTAATGTTTTGTATAATAAAAAGTGCTTGATACTGATAATGGTACTTAACTATAATTTGTACTGATTGATACATAAAATGGCCACTGCAACTATTTAAATTTTTCAACTGACTTTTTTAGGGGATTCATTATCACTAAGTTAATCACAAAGTACTGCAGAATTCACAAATGATTATTTTCTTCAGTCCAAATATGACAACAGGTAACTGGGTTATTTAATGGGAGTGTAAGAAATATGACAAATACTTTTATCTTTTTTAAAAACATGAAAACAAGATTTCCATGCCAAATGGGTTAGTTTGTAAATTATCTCATGAATGATCATGTCTAGCTAGTTAAAATATAAGACATTTCCTTCTGTTAATGAATAATCTATGGTGAAATTTAGTGTTGTCTAATTTTATTTCCCCTTAGATTTCTAAACCATTTAATTGATTTAATGATTAATTGAACATCTAATTAATTAAAAATAGATAGACTTGTAATGTCATCGAAGTGGAACATATTTGTAAAGTTTGAACGAAATTTCATTGTTATAGATAACATCATTCTGTGTAACCACCATGACTTACCATGTATCAACTTGATTTTTGATACTCTCAATGTCTGAAGCTTGAGTAGATACAGCTGAAATCCGCCTTTCTAACTTGGGTAGAAATTTCTGGCTCTGAGCTCTGTTGTGTTGTTCTATTTTTTGTGTAAGATCTGAAAGATACAATCCCACTTTTATGTTATTTTTTGTGTAAGATCTGAAAGATACAATCCCACTTTTATGTTATTTTATGTTTTAGATGTGAGAAATAGAATTCCACTTTCATAACTGGTTTACCTCTATCACTGAATAAGCTACCCATCATATCCCCTCCAGTAAATACCATCACCTACCCATCATTACTCCAACTGGTGTGATGGAACAAGTCTGGGTGTGATGGAATAAGTCTGGGTGTGATGGGTGTGATGGAACAAGTCTGGGTGTGATGGAACAAGTCTGGGTGTGATGGAATAAGTCTGGGTGTGATGGGTGTGATGGAACAAGTATGGGTGTGATGGAACAAGGCTGGGTGTGATGGAACAAGTCTGGGTGTGATGGAACAAGTCTGGGTGTGATGGGTGTGATGGAACAAGTATGGGTGTGATGGGTGTGATGGAACAAGGCTGGGTGTGATGGAACAAGTCTGGGTGTGATGGAACAAGTCTGAGTGTGATGGAACAAGTCTGGGTGTGATGGAACAAGGCTGGGTGTGATGGAACAAGTCTGGATGTGATGGAACAAGTCTGGGTGTGATGGAACAAGTCTGGGTGTGATGGAACAAGTCTGGGTGTGATGGAACAAGTATGGGTGTGATGGAACAAGGCTGGGTGTGATGGAATAAGTCTGGGTGTGATGGAACAAGTCTGGGTGTGATGGAACAAGGCTGGGTGTGATGGGTGTGATGGAACAAGTCTGGGTGTGATGGAACAAGGCTGGGTGTGATGGAACAAGTATGGGTGTGATGGAACAAGGCTGGGTGTGATGGAACAAGGCTGGGTGTGATGGAACAAGTATGGGTGTGATGGAACAAGTCTGGGTGTGATGGAACAAGTCTGGGTGTGATGGAACAAGTCTGGGTGTGATGGGTGTGATGGAACAAGTATGGGTGTGATGGGTGTGATGGAACAAGGCTGGGTGTGATGGAACAAGTCTGGGTGTGATGGAACAAGTCTGGGTGTGATGGAACAAGTCTGGGTGTGATGGAACAAGTCTGGGTGTGATGGAACAAGTCTGGGTGTGATGGAACAAGTCTGGGTGTGATGGAACAAGTCTGGATGTGATGGAACAAGTCTGGGTGTGATGGAACAAGTCTGGGTGTGATGGAACAAGTCTGGGTGTGATGGAACAAGTATGGGTGTGATGGAACAAGGCTGGGTGTGATGGAATAAGTCTGGGTGTGATGGGTGTGATGGAACAAGTCTGGGTGTGATGGGTGTGATGGAACAAGGCTGGGTGTGATGGGTGTGATGGAACAAGTCTGGGTGTGATGGAACAAGGCTGGGTGTGATGGAACAAGTCTGGGTGTGATGGAACAAGTCTGGGTGTGATGGAACAAGTCTGGGTGTGATGGAACAAGGCTGGGTGTGATGGAACAAGTCTGGGTGTGATGGAACAAGGCTGGGTGTGATGGGTGTGATGGAACAAGTCTGGGTGTGATGGAACAAGTCTGGGTGTGATGGAACAAGTCTGGGTGTGATGGGTGTGATGGAACAAGTCTGGGTGTGATGGAACAAGTCTGGGTGTGATGGGTGTGATGGAACAAGTCTGGGTGTGATGGAACAAGTCTGGGTGTGATGGGTGTGATGGAACAAGGCTGGGTGTGATGGGTGTGATGGAACAAGTCTGGGTGTGATGGAACAAGTCTGGGTGTGATGGAACAAGGCTGGGTGTGATGGAACAAGTCTGGGTGTGATGGAACAAGTCTGGGTGTGATGGAACAAGGCTGGGTGTGATGGAACAAGTCTGGATGTGATGGAACAAGTCTGGGTGTGATGGAACAAGTCTGGGTGTGATGGAACAAGTCTGGGTGTGATGGAACAAGTATGGGTGTGATGGAACAAGGCTGGGTGTGATGGAATAAGTCTGGGTGTGATGGGTGTGATGGAACAAGTCTGGGTGTGATGGGTGTGATGGAACAAGGCTGGGTGTGATGGGTGTGATGGAACAAGTCTGGGTGTGATGGAACAAGGCTGGGTGTGATGGAACAAGTCTGGGTGTGATGGAACAAGTCTGGGTGTGATGGAACAAGTCTGGGTGTGATGGAACAAGGCTGGGTGTGATGGAACAAGTCTGGGTGTGATGGAACAAGGCTGGGTGTGATGGAACAAGTCTGGGTGTGATGGAACAAGGCTGGGTGTGATGGAACAAGTCTGGGTGTGATGGAACAAGTCTGGGTGTGATGGGTGTGATGGAACAAGTCTGGGTGTGATGGGTGTGATGGAACAAGTCTGGGTGTGATGGAACAAGGCTGGGTGTGATGGGTGTGATGGAACAAGTCTGGGTGTGATGGAACAAGTCTGGGTGTGATGGAACAAGTCTGGGTGTGATGGAACAAGGCTGGGTGTGATGGGTGTGATGGAACAAGTCTGGGTGTGATGGAACAAGGCTGGGTGTGATGGAACAAGTCTGGGTGTGATGGAACAAGTCTGGGTGTGATGGAACAAGGCTGGGTGTGATGGAACAAGTCTGGGTGTGATGGAACAAGTCTGGGTGTGATGGAACAAGTCTGGGTGTGATGGGTGTGATGGAACAAGTCTGGGTGTGATGGAACAAGTCTGGGTGTGATGGAACAAGTCTGGGTGTGATGGAACAAGTCTGGGTGTGATGGGTGTGATGGAACAAGTCTGGGTGTGATGGAACAAGTCTGGGTGTGATGGAACAAGTCTGGGTGTGATGGGTGTGATGGAACAAGTCTGGGTGTGATGGGTGTGATGGAACAAGTCTGGGTGTGATGGAACAAGTCTGAGTGTACAAATGTGGGAGAGTGGTATTAATTGGGAGATGGTTGGCAAATATTATTAGTGGACAAATTGGCAATTCACTTGGTTGGTTTAGTCAAAGGAAAAGTTACCAGGCAAGTGGGAGGGGGGGGGGGAAAGTTAGTCCCTGCTGTATATTATACTGTCAATCCTAAAAGCTCATTCCCTCAAGTGTTGAACACTAGATCACTTTACTAGAAGTTTTCTTTTTTCTTAAGTATATTTCATTCTCCCAAATACATCATAATTTGTAAGATACCAACAAGTTTAAAATCATACATAACAAAGGTTAATCAATTTGTTTTTAATATAGGTTAATTATTTTTAAAAGAAAATTAAAATGCAGATTTATTTTAGTAAAAATATTTTTTTAAATTAAAAAAAATCATAGTTGAACATTAACCAAGGTTGGAAAATTTGGTTACAATATCTTTCTAACAAATATATATCTAAAAAATACAAACTACACAATGACGATCTTTCATAGTTATAGTGTTTTCTTTGAAAAGACTTATAATACTTGTATGTACTCTTTTAGGTCAAATAACTTTTAAAGTGGCGAGGGAAGTGTGGGGAAGGAAGCAACACTAGTGTCATACTCAAATGTAATGATACATTCATGTAATGATATATTCCTGCTTTGTGATGTAGTTTTCCAACTTTGGTAAAACATTGAGTAAAAAATTAGCAATTTTCGCAAAAAAAAAACCCAAAACAAACAGAATGAAACAAATTCTAGAAAGAATCTAAAATTCCAACCTTTGATTTTTTCCTTAAAAGTAACTGTAAATAAAGGACATTTTTTTTTCACAAGAAAAGAATCCACTAGAAGTTAATTATATAAAACAGTTCTAGATGATTTCAATTTTTTAGCAAATGATTTATAGAACACGTTTGAGATTGTCAGTGATGTAATTAGCTATTAATTTTCTTCACAAATGTAAAAAATTGCTGGCATTTCCAAATCTTTTTTTTCACTTTTAAACTAACAATTAACAGGATATTAGTTTACATAATATGAGCAATAGATACATATTAACTAAGACTGTTCATGTGTGACCAACAGCACTTAATACACTTTATTTAGATCTACCTCTAGACAACACTGCAGGATTATGGTAAGTACACTTTAATCACCATTGTGCAATATTCTTATGGTTTCAATTTTTGTGCTTAAACCTTTTCATTAACATAAGGTGCAAAGAACAAAATTCAAACTAAATTTATTATTATAAAAAAAAATTATGATTTTATCTGAAAATATAGTACACAGTTATGAGCTGGGTTTGCGAAAGAAGTTAGCGTGTTGTTCAAATTGGTGCAAGTAGTTAGAGTGTTGTTCAAATTGGTGAAAGTAGTTAAAGTGTTGTTCAAATTGGTGCAAGTAGTTAAAGTGTTGTTCAAATTGGTGCAAGTAATAAAATGAATGCATGAAAGATAGTAAGGTTTTGTGGTAGAAACTGATTGATGTGGAATGGAAGTGAGACAGTTAAATTAATCCAGTTGACTTGATGTGAGAGGTAATCTGTGTCTACTAAGATGGTGATGTTAGTAGTAGGAATGAAACCTGAAATAGAAAGTCCTAAGTATTCTGTCAAGTGTATTCACTTTGTGTATTCACCAAAGGATAATGTTGGAGAAGTGACATAGGTAGAGGACCGCCGACAGTGTTTAATAATGGTATGGAAAGCTGAAATGCTCTCACAACCTTAACAAACACATTACTTCGCTTTAAGTGGTAGATAATTGACAGAAATTTAATAAAAAAAGCGGGAGTGATCTCCACTAAACTTTCTCAAATATTCTTAGATAACACTGATGGGGATAGCAATATCCATTACAATCAGGAAATAGACATGTTTATTTTTAAACACATTTTTAAATAGTTGAATTTTTAAATAGAATAGAATCATGTAAAAAAAAATTGCACTCCAAATGAACAGCAAACAATGTGTCTATAATAGTGCGGAACATAGTACTAAACAAACTTTGATTAAATAACTAACATTTTGTGTCACAATACATTGTCTTCGGGATAGACATACATGAAAAGTTTGAATAAATAAGTCAGTGGAAGTGTTCACAATTTTGCTTGCAAGATTCTAACCATGACGGACAATAGACTGAGGAATCAAGTTGAACTTAAACTCATGCCTTTTTAGAGACATTGAAAATAGAGTAAAATACTACTTCCAGTCACTGGAAATCAGTTAAAATTTAAAAAATAAAGCGGGAGTGATCTCCCCAAAACTCTCAAATATTCTTATATGGCACTATGGCCATGGCAACTCAGGATATAGACATGATTTTTAATCCACTTTAAATACTTAAACCTTAAAAAAATAATAGAATCTAGTAGAAAAAGAATTGCGCACCAAGTGAATGGCAAACAATATGTGTATAATAGTGCGGAATATTAGTACTTTATAAACTCACGTGTTTTTTGAGCAATCGGAAATAGCGTAAAGTACTACTTCCGGTCAATGGAAATTACTCAAAATTCGAAAGAAGGCAGAGAATTAGATCTTTTAGTTATATGTGGAATTTCGTGTATCTATGAGAAAACAGTATTCAATTTATAAGCTTTTGAAAAAAAAAAAAGTAGAATAAGTTCCACTTCAGGTTACTGGACATGGCTTAAAAGTTGATACAGAACAATAATTTTGATATAACACTTATAAATTATATATAAAATTTCATCAACCTGTAATGGAACTCAAGTTATCATGTTTACAAACACACAAGACATACAGACAAAATTGTAAAACATTTTCCTACTCAGGGAGGTATTAAATATTGGGGTGAGGGTTGTTTTATGTTGTTTTTTTTTTACATTAGTGATTGTGGTTAGGGTTAAAGTTATTTATATTTTCTCAAACTTCAATATTTGGATACAGAAAGACTTTAAATAAGAAATTTAATATATTCAGGGTTCGTACTACTTTTTGAAAATGAAATTCCAGACTTTTCCCAGACTTTTTTGGAAAAATTCCAGACTTTAGACAGATAATGTGTTGTACTCTCATTATAATTACTTATACTAAATTGACATTTATTTTAGGCAATTGAGCTATATTTATTTTGAACTTTCTCTAGCAAAATTCACAGAAAATCACTTTTCTAAATTTACCAGTCCACTCTACCTAAAATTTTAATAATTAAAATAATTGATTAAAATGATGCAACTATTTTGTTTCCAACATTACTGATGTTATCTGTTCATGATCTAATTGCTTATGTTTTCAATTAAACTATTATTAAAATGGTATTGTATAATAGTGAGAGTAAATTACTTTCAAGAATAATAATGTAATGCATTAATTTAGGTCTGCTCTTGTTAAGTAGCCTAACATAGGCTACTTGTAAAAAAAAATGTGGAGCAAAAAAAAAAAAAAAACCCCACATCATTCACTGTTTGTGCTAACAGTATAACTTATAGCTGAGGAACGGGTCTGCAATAAGGAAAAAATTTCTGGTATTCTTCACCCCACACACACACAAGACACGGTGAAGGGGTCACTGTGAGGTCATAGTAGTCTAGACTTCAGTATGCCTGTTTAATACGTCATAGCATGAACTCACTGTGATGTGACTTATACCCTTCCCCATCCTCTTTACCAAGCTGTACCAACTACCAAGCTGTACCAACTACCAAGCTGTACAAACTACCAAGCTGTACAAACTACGCACTTTTGGGGTCACGGTGAGTTCACACAAGTGACTGTAGTTACAAGGAGGGGCGGGGTATTCTAATCGTCAGCGTTTGCAAATATTTCAAAAACAGTTTAACGGAAGGTGGATTAAAATTAAAGGGGGGGGGGGGGTCGTAAGACTTTGTGTCCACAAGTTACACTTAACATCGAAGTGCTTACATTCTAAAACAAACATAAACCTTGTATCCTGCGTGTGGAAAGTAAAATTAAGGAGACTGTGCTTGTGTTTTAAAACCATCATAGCGTGTAAATAAAACACGGTATTTAGCTCTATATCTACCCTAACATTATTGCAAGAGCATGTCGTCGCACTTCAGAGGGAGGGTCTAAAATCATAAATGGATGACCCTTACAGACGGATACATTATATCTAAACTACCACTCACACATCTTCCACTTAATTTTTTGTTATGACTGTCTGCATGCAAATTCAAAAAATGAAAAATAGCAGGTAAAATCGAGAGCCTAACAATTCTGAGGATGATCATTCTTTCATTAAATTACAAATTTAAATACTTGTAACACATTCACACGGTCAGTCGGGCTACAAAATATCTCTTCCCTCCCCATCCCCTCCTCTCCCAATGACGTAGTAACTGAGCATCTGTTTTTTTAAGCGAACCAGTGAAAAACGTCACAACACAGCGTAAACCCGCGCAATAAATTTTTTTGGAGTAAATTTGCTTAAAAATAGCAATTTTTTAATTTGGAAAATATGGACTTCGAAGTTTTGTTTCTAAAATTAGATTCCAGACTTTTTCCAGACATTAAAAAAATCCAGCCCAAAAACTAGCGATTTTCCAGACTTTTTTTAAGTCTGAAATTCACTTTTCTAAATTCAAGACTTTTTCCAGACTTTCCAGACTGCGTACGAACCCTGTATATTCCCAAAACCCAGGCAGCGCTGGGTATATGATGCTTAATAAACACACAAAAAAGGACTACGTAGCCTACTGGTAGAGAGCTAGACTGCTATACTGAGAGTCTGGAGTTCAAATCTGGGTTCAAATCAGTGGAACGTCACTGACTCCATCCAGCTATGATGGGTAACTAAGACACGTTAGGATAAAAAGGTGGCTAACCACACTATCCCTTCATAGTGCTAACCACACTATCCCTTCATAGTGCTAACCACACTATCCCTTCATAGTGCTAACCACACTATCCCTTCATAGTGCTAACCACACTATCCCTTCATAGTGCTAACCACACTATCCCTTCATAGTGCTAACCACACTATCCCTTCATAGTGCTAACCACACTATCCCTTCATAGTGCTAACCACACTATCCCTTCATATGCTGAGGTCATAGTGCTAACCACACTATCCCTTCATATGCTGAGGTCATAGTGCTAACCACACTATCCCTTCATATGCTGAGGTCATAGTGCTAACCACACTATCCCTTCATAGTGCTAACCACACTATCCCTTCATATGCTGAGGTCATAGTGCTAACCACACTATCCCTTCATATGCTGAGGTCATAGTGCTAACCACACTATCCCTTCATATGCTGAGGTCATAGTGCTAACCACACTATCCCTTCATATGCTGAGGTCATAGTGCTAACCACACTATCCCTTCATAGTGCTAACCACACTATCCCTTCATATGCTGAGGTCATAGTGCTAACCACACTATCCCTTCATATGCCAAGGTCTCTGAAGCAGATAAACTCTATTTTATCTGCCCCATGTGTCTTGGACACAAAGGGAAATGATGATGAATAAAACACAAAGTCATAACGCTTTACAGTAGATAAGTTTTCACAAAGGCCAGTGCAGGGCCTGACTGGGACGGCTAGTATCCTATGTATATGGAAAAAAAAATCTATTTTTCAATTGATCCATTGGTTCATCCATCCATCCATCAAACAAGAATGGGAGACAACTCACCTATAAAAGAGTTGATGTCATCGTTTGTGTGAGCACCAGCTAATGCTGCTGCTACTCGCTTTTCTCTCTTCTGTTGGCTGATTCTCACTTCCTGTATACATCTCTCTATCTCTAGCAAATAATGAAACAAACTATCTGTGGACTAAACACCATTTTTTTAAGAAGTGAAACTGACAATCTTTCAAGAAACATCATGTAAAATTAAAGGCTTTCTAAAATTGGTCATGTATTTTAGAAACATCATGTAAATATAAAAGCTTTCTAAAATTGGTCATTTATTTAAGAAACATCATGTAAAAATAAAGGCTTTCTAAAATTGGTCATGTATTTAAGAAACATCATGTAAAAATAAAGGCTTTCTAAAATTGGTCATGTATTTAAGAAACATCATGTAAAAATAAAGGCTTTCTAAAATTGGTCATTTATTTGTAAAATCATGTGTTTTAATGTGTGCTCATCTAATTAAGTGAATAATTTGATTCAGTTTCTGTAAATGCCAACATTTTTGGGGTCACATTTGGCCAGTGCATTTTTTTCAAACAGTTGTTACTGATTAAAAAAAAATGTCCATACAAGAAACATGTTTTGGTCCAAACTTCATTTTAAAAGTTTATTATTTAAACGCTTTCATTATAACAACTGATCAGGTACTTTCTTGGAATAAAAGCAATCTATATATTTTTAAATGAACATTAATTGTTGTGCCTAATGATGACAATAGAAAAGTCAAGTAAAAAGAATAAAATATTTTTTTAGTGTTTACATTAAATTATAGACTTTTTTCTTTACCTTGAAGTGTGGAAAAGAAAAAGCTGAGGCCACATTAGAATAGGCTGATAGTTTGTCTCTTGCCAGTGGATTGATGGATGGAGCCAGTGATAAATCCAATGCACACAAACATGCCTTACTAGAGTGTACAGACACAAGGTACTCAAATAATGCACACACACACACACATATATATATATATATATATATAAGTTCGATTAACAGATTGAAATGTATGAAAGCTGACAAAACCCACTGTTACGGGTCAGTTGTAGGTTAGATTAGAATAGGTTAGAACTAGGGGAGAGTGCCTGTGTGAGTGGAGTTCACCTTACTGTGTAGTTACCCTAGTGTGTTTATGTCTTGTAATCCCAAGGTCGAATGCGGGTATAAAAGGGCGAGTGAACGATTGTGGGGGACAGTCAGCGGGTTAGTAGCGGTTAGGACGAGGGCTGTTCTGGTACGCTTGAATGCATTGAGACGAATAAAAGTAGAGAAGTTATACACGAAGTGTTGTTGATGATTTGAAACGAACCCAGAACGTAACAACTGGTGGCCAGTATGAATCAAGTAGAAGCATAAACTTGATGCTGTCCTGTCGTTTGCCTGATGCTGTCCTGATGTTTGCCTGATGCTGTCCTGTCGTTTGCCTGATGCTGTCCTGTCGTTTGCCTGATGCTGTCCTGTCGTTTGCCGGTTGCTGTCCTGATGTTTGCCGGTTGCTGTCCTGATGTTTGCCGGTTGCTGTCCTGATGTTTGCCGGTTGCTGTCCTGATGTTTGCCGGTTGCTGTCCTGATGTTTGCCGGTTGCTGTCCTGATGTTTGCCGGTTGCTGTCCTGATGTTTGCCGGTTGCTGCCCTGATGTTTGCCGGTTGCTGCCCTGATGTTTGCCGGTTGCTGCCCTGATGTTTGCCGGTTGCTGCCCTGATGTTTGCCGGTTGCTGTCCTGATGTTTGCCGGTTGCTGTCCTGATGTTTGCCGGTTGCTGTCCTGATGTTTGCCGGTTGCTGTCCTGATGTTTGCCGGTTGCTGTCCTGATGTTTGCCGGTTGCTGTCCTGATGTTTGCCGGTTGCTGTCCTGATGTTTGCCGGTTGCTGTCCTGATGTTTGCCGGTTGCTGTCCTGATGTTTGCCGGTTGCTGTCCTGATGTTTGCCGGTTGCTGTCCTGATGTTTGCCGGTTGCTGTCCTGATGTTTGCCGGTTGCTGTCCTGATGTTTGCCGGTTGCTGCCCTGATGTTTGCCGGTTGCTGCCCTGATGTTTGCCGGTTGCTGCCCTGATGTTTGCCGGTTGCTGCCCTGATGTTTGCCGGTTGCTGTCCTGATGTTTGCCGGTTGCTGTCCTGATGTTTGCCGGTTGCTGTCCTGATGTTTGCCGGTTGCTGTCCTGATGTTTGCCGGTTGCTGTCCTGATGTTTGCCGGTTGCTGTCCTGATGTTTGCCGGTTGCTGTCCTGATGTTTGCCGGTTGCTGTCCTGATGTTTGCCGGTTGCTGTCCTGATGTTTGCCGGTTGCTGTCCTGATGTTTGCCGGTTGCTGTCCTGATGTTTGCCGGTTGCTGTCCTGATGTTTGCCGGTTGCTGTCCTGATGTTTGCCGGTTGCTGTCCTGATGTTTGCCGGTTGCTGTCCTGATGTTTGCCGGTTGCTGTCCTGATGTTTGCCGGTTGCTGTCCTGATGTTTGCCGGTTGCTGTCCTGATGTTTGCCGGTTGCTGCCCTGATGTTTGCCGGTTGCTGCCCTGATGTTTGCCGGTTGCTGCCCTGATGTTTGCCGGTTGCTGCCCTGATGTTTGCCGGTTGCTGCCCTGATGTTTGCCGGTTGCTGTCCTGATGTTTGCCGGTTGCTGTCCTGATGTTTGCCGGTTGCTGTCCTGATGTTTGCCGGTTGCTGTCCTGATGTTTGCCGGTTGCTGTCCTGATGTTTGCCGGTTGCTGTCCTGATGTTTGCCGGTTGCTGTCCTGATGTTTGCCGGTTGCTGTCCTGATGTTTGCCGGTTGCTGTCCTGATGTTTGCCGGTTGCTGTCCTGATGTTTGCCGGTTGCTGTCCTGATGTTTGCCGGTTGCTGTCCTGATGTTTGCCGGTTGCTGTCCTGATGTTTGCCGGTTGCTGTCCTGATGTTTGCCGGTTGCTGTCCTGATGTTTGCCGGTTGCTGTCCTGATGTTTGCCGGTTGCTGTCCTGATGTTTGCCGGTTGCTGTCCTGATGTTTGCCGGTTGCTGTCCTGATGTTTGCCGGTTGCTGTCCTGATGTTTGCCGGTTGCTGTCCTGACGTTTGCTGGATGCTGTGGGGATGCCGTTAGCCCGACGCTATAGCTGTTTGACAGAGTATGTAACAACATCGACTGTGAGTTGCAAAATTTTTTGTGATGTAGAATGGTTGAGATATAGGTAGGAGTCGTAAACCAGTGTAGCCATAGAGCGCACAGGGTAGACTCAAATTTTTAGTGATGTAGAATGGTTGAGATATGAATAGGAGTCATAAACCAGTGTAGCCATAGAGCGCAGGTTGACTCAAATTTTTAGTGATGTGGAATGGTTGAGATATGGGTAGGAGTCGTAAACCAGTGTAGCCATAGAGCGCACAGGGTAGACTCAAATTTTTAGTGATGTAGAATGGTTGAGATATGAGTAGGAGTCGTAAACCAGTGTAGCCATAGAGCGCAGGTTGACTCAAATTTTTTGTGATGTGGAATGGTTGAGATATGGGTAGGATTCGTAAACCAGTGTAGCCATAGAGCGCACAGGGTAGACTCAACAATTTTGGTGTGGAAAGTTCTTAGATTCGGTGCGATGCAACTGGGTGTGTATGATTTTTTTGTGTGTGTTAGTTACACGGATGATTTGTGCTAGCTCTAAATTGTAGCAGTTCTGTATATTGTCATTATGTATTTCATTGTATATACAATCTGTCATATACATTCTTCGGAATGTATATTTTTAACTTGTCTACTAGTGTATGTGTATGAAAGGCTTTGTGTTTTTTATTTAGCTAGGATTTGTTAGTCAGTATTTGTAGTTATTACTACAAATACTTAGGTGGGGGGTAGTGTTACGGGTCAGTTGTAGGTTAGATTAGAATAGGTTAGAACTAGGGGAGAGTGCCTGTGTGAGTGGAGTTCACCTTACTGTGTAGTTACCCTAGTGTGTTTATGTCTTGTAATCCCAAGGTCGAATGCGGGTATAAAAGGGCGAGTGAACGATTGTGGGGGACAGTCAGCGGGTTAGTAGCGGTTAGGACGAGGGCTGTTCTGGTACGCTTGAATGCATTGAGACGAATAAAAGTAGAGAAGTTATACACGAAGTGTTGTTGATGATTTGAAACGAACCCAGAACGTAACACCCACCTATTATATTTCCCTGCCAAAAACCCACCTGTTATATTTCCCTGCCAAAAACCCACCTGTTATATTTCCCTGCCAAAACCCACCTGTTATATTTCCCTGCCAAAAACCCACCTGTTATATTTCCCTGCCAAAACCCACCTGTTAGATTTCCCTGCCAAAAACCCACCTGTTATATTTACCTGTCAAGAGTAACTACAAGCAGGCTTGAGAGGACAAGGGGGGAAAACTTTTCTAATTCTGATATCAAACTTCCTGTTAGTCCTGCTGTCAGAGATTTGACTTCTGCCTCATGAGATTCTATAGACTTAGACCTGATGTAAGCCAAAACCTGAAGAAATATCATCTTTAGAACTTCATAATACAAAGAGGGAACCAGGTTGCCAAAAGTTTTAAGAAAGGGACAGGAACAAGGAAGTTTCATTCATCCTAAAATACTGTTCACATTTATCCTAAAATACTGTCCTATACTACCCACCTGTTCACATTTATCCTAAACTACTGTGCTATATTACCCACCTGTTCACATTTATCCTAAAATACTGTGCTATATTACCTTACCGTTCACATTTATCCTAAACTACTGTGCTATATTACCTAACCGTTCACATTTATCCTAAAATACTGTGCTATATTACCTAACTATTCACATTTATCCTAAAATACTGTGCTATATTACCCACCTGTTCACATTTATCCTAAACTACTGTGCTATAATACCAAACCGTTCACATTTATCCTAAAATACTGTGCTATATTTCCTAACTATTCACATTTATCCTAAAATACTGTGCTATATTACCTTACCGTTCACATTTATCCTAAAATACTGTGCTATATTACCTAACCGTTCACATTTATCCTAAAATACTGTGCTATATTACCTAACCGTTCACATTTATCCTAAAATACTGTGCTATATTACCTAACCGTTCACATTTATCCTAAAATACTGTGCTATATTACCTAACTATTCACATTTATCCAAAAATACTGTGCTATATTACCTAACCATTCACATTTATCCTTAAATACTATTTTATATTACCCACCTGTTCACATTTATCCTAAAATACTGTGCTATATTACCCACCTGTTCAAATTTATCCTAAACTACTGTGCTATAATACCTAACCGTTCACATTTATCCTAAAATACTGTGCTATATTTCCTAACTATTCACATTTATCCTAAAATACTGTGCTATATTACCCACCTGTTCACATTTATCCTAAAATACTGTGCTATATTACCTAACCGTTCACATTTATCCTTAACTACTGTGCTATATTACCTAACCATTCACATTTATCCTAAAATACTGTGCTATATTACCTAACCGTTCACATTTATCCTAAACTACTGTGCTATATTACCCACCTGTTCACATTTATCCTAAAATACTGTGCTATATTACCTAACAGTTCACATTTATCCTAAACTACTGTGCTATATTACCTAATTGTTCACATTTATCCTAAAATCCTGTTCTATATTACCTAACCGTTCACATTTATCCTAAACTACTGTGCTATATTACCTAACCGTTCACATTTATCCTAAACTACTGTGCTATATTACCTAACCGTTCACATTTATCCTAAACTACTGTGCTATATTACCCACCTGTTCACATTTATCCTAAACTACTGTGCTATATTACCTAACCGTTCACATTTATCCTAAACTACTGTGCTATATTACCCACCTGTTCACATTTATCCTAAACTACTGTGCTATATTACCCACCTGTTCACATTTATCCTAAACTACTGTGCTATATTACCCACCTGTTCACATTTATCCTAAACTACTGTGCTACATTACCTAATTGTTCACATTTATCCTTAAATACTGTGCTATATTACCTAACTGTTCACATTTATCCTAAAATCCTGTTCTATATTACCTAACCGTTCACATTTATCCTAAAATACTGTGCTATATTACCTAACCGTTCACATTTATCCTAAAATACTGTGCTATATTACCTAACCGTTCACATTTATCCTAAAATACTGTGCTATATTACCTAACCGTTCACATTTATCCTAAAATACTGTGTTATATTACCTAACCGTTCACATTTATCCTAAAATACTGTGCTATATTACCCACCTGTTGACATTTATCCTAAACTACTGTGCTATATTACCTAACCGTTCACATTTATCCTAAACTACTGTGCTATATTACCTAACTATTCACATTTATCCTAAAATATTGTGCTATATTACCTAACTGTTCACATTTATCCTAAACTACTGTGCTATATTACCTAACCGTTCACATTTATCCTAAAATACTGTGCTATATTACCTACCGTTCACATTTATCCTAAAATACTGTGTTATATTACCTAACCGTTCACATTTATCCTAAAATACTGTGATATATTACCCACCTGTTGACATTTATCCTAAACTACTGTGCTATATTACCTAACCGTTCACATTTATCCTAAAATACTGTGCTATATTACCTAACCGTTCACATTTATCCTAAAATACTGTGCTATATTACCTAACCGTTCACATTTATCCTAAAATACTGTGCTATATTACCTAACCGTTCACATTTATCCTAAAATACTGTGCTATATTACCTAACCGTTCACATTTATCCTAAAATACTGTGCTATATTACCTAACCGTTCACATTTATCCTAAAATACTATTTTATATTACCCACCTGTTCACATTTATCCTAAAATACTGTGCTATATTACCCACCTGTTCACATTTATCCTAAAATTCTGTGCTATATTACCTAACAGTTCACATTTATCCTTAACTACTGTGCTATATTACCTAACCATTCACATTTATCCTAAAATACTGTGCTATATTACCTACCTGTTCACATTTATCCTAAACTACTGTGCTATATTACCTAACCGTTCACATTTATCCTAAACTACTGTGCTATATTACCCACCTGTTCACATTTATCCTAAACTACTGTGCTACATTACCTAATTGTTCACATTTATCCTAAAATACTGTGCTATATTACCTAACTGTTCACATTTATCCTAAAATCCTGTTCTATATTACCTAACCGTTCACATTTATCCTAAAATACTGTGCTATATTACCTAACCGTTCACATTTATCCTAAAATACTGTGCTATATTACCTAACCGTTCACATTTATCCTAAAATACTGTGCTATATTACCTAACCGTTCACATTTATCCTAAAATACTGTGTTATATTACCTAACCGTTCACATTTATCCTAAAATACTGTGCTATATTACCCACCTGTTGACATTTATCCTAAACTACTGTGCTATATTACCTAACCGTTCACATTTATCCTAAACTACTGTGCTATATTACCTAACTATTCACATTTATCCTAAAATATTGTGCTATATTACCTAACTGTTCACATTTATCCTAAACTACTGTGCTATATTACCTAACCGTTCACATTTATCCTAAACTACTGTGCTATATTACCTAACCGTTCACATTTATCCTAAAATACTGTGCTATATTACCTAACCGTTCACATTTATCCTAAACTACTGTGCTATATTACCTAACCGTTCACATTTATCCTAAAATACTGTGCTATATTACCCACCTGTTCACATTTATCCTAAACTACTGTGCTATATTACCTAACCGTTCACATTTATCCTAAACTACTGTGCTTTATTACCTAACTATTCACATTTATCCTAAAATATTGTGCTATATTACCTAACTGTTCACATTTATCCTAAACTACTGTGCTATATTACCTAACCGTTCACATTTATCCTAAACTACTGTGCTATATTACCTAACCGTTCACATTTATCCTAAAATACTGTGCTATATTACCTAACCGTTCACATTTATCCTAAACTACTGTGCTATATTACCTAACCGTTCACATTTATCCTTAACTACTGTGCTATATTACCTAACTATTCACATTTATCCTAAAATACTGTGCTATATTACCTAACCGTTCACATTTATCCTAAAATACTGTGCTATATTACCTAACCGTTCACATTTATCCTTAACTACTGTGCTATATTACCTAACTATTCACATTTATCCTAAAATATTGTGCTATATTACCTAACTATTCACATTTATCCTAAAATATTGTGCTATATTACCTAACCGTTCACATTTATCCTAAAATACTGTGCTATATTACCCACCTGTTGACATTTATCCTAAACTACTGTGCTATATTACCTAACCGTTCACATTTATCCTAAACTACTGTGCTATATTACCTAACTATTCACATTTATCCTAAAATATTGTGCTATATTACCTAACTGTTCACATTTATCCTAAACTACTGTGCTATATTACCTAACGGTTCACAATTATCCTAAAATACTGTGCTATATTACCTACCGTTCACATTTATCCTAAAATACTGTGTTATATTACCTAACCGTTCACATTTATCCTAAAATACTGTGATATATTACCCACCTGTTGACATTTATCCTAAACTACTGTGCTATATTACCTAACCGTTCACATTTATCCTAAAATACTGTGCTATATTACCTAACCGTTCACATTTATCCTAAAATACTGTGCTATATTACCTAACCGTTCACATTTATCCTAAAATACTGTGCTATATTACCTAACCGTTCACATTTATCCTAAAATACTGTGCTATATTACCTAACCGTTCACATTTATCCTAAAATACTATTTTATATTACCCACCTGTTCACATTTATCCTAAAATACTGTGCTATATTACCCACCTGTTCACATTTATCCTAAAATTCTGTGCTATATTACCTAACAGTTCACATTTATCCTTAACTACTGTGCTATATTACCTAACCATTCACATTTATCCTAAAATACTGTGCTATATTACCTACCTGTTCACATTTATCCTAAACTACTGTGCTATATTACCTAACCGTTCACATTTATCCTAAACTACTGTGCTATATTACCCACCTGTTCACATTTATCCTAAACTACTGTGCTATATTACCCACCTGTTCACATTTATCCTAAACTACTGTGCTATATTACCCACCTGTTCACATTTATCCTAAACTACTGTGCTACATTACCTAATTGTTCACATTTATCCTAAAATACTGTGCTATATTACCTAACTGTTCACATTTATCCTAAAATCCTGTTCTATATTACCTAACCGTTCACATTTATCCTAAAATACTGTGCTATATTACCTAACCATTCACATTTATCCTAAAATACTGTGCTATATTACCTAACCGTTCACATTTATCCTAAAATACTGTGCTATATTACCTAACCGTTCACATTTATCCTAAAATACTGTGTTATATTACCTAACCGTTCACATTTATCCTAAAATACTGTGCTATATTACCCACCTGTTGACATTTATCCTAAACTACTGTGCTATATTACCTAACCGTTCACATTTATCCTAAACTACTGTGCTATATTACCTAACTATTCACATTTATCCTAAAATATTGTGCTATATTACCTAACTGTTCACATTTATCCTAAACTACTGTGCTATATTACCTAACCGTTCACATTTATCCTAAACTACTGTGCTATATTACCTAACCGTTCACATTTATCCTAAAATACTGTGCTATATTACCTAACCGTTCACATTTATCCTAAACTACTGTGCTATATTACCTAACCGTTCACATTTATCCTAAAATACTGTGCTATATTACCCACCTGTTCACATTTATCCTAAACTACTGTGCTATATTACCTAACCGTTCACATTTATCCTAAACTACTGTGCTATATTACCTAACTATTCACATTTATCCTAAAATATTGTGCTATATTACCTAACTGTTCACATTTATCCTAAACTACTGTGCTATATTACCTAACCGTTCACATTTATCCTAAACTACTGTGCTATATTACCTAACCGTTCACATTTATCCTAAAATACTGTGCTATATTACCTAACCGTTCACATTTATCCTAAACTACTGTGCTATATTACCTAACCGTTCACATTTATCCTTAACTACTGTGCTATATTACCTAACTATTCACATTTATCCTAAAATATTGTGCTATATTACCTAACCGTTCACATTTATCCTAAACTACTGTGCTATATTACCTAACCGTTCACATTTATCCTAAACTACTGTGCTATATTACCTAACCGTTCACATTTATCCTAAAATACTGTGCTATATTACCTAACCGTTCACATTTATCCTAAAATACTGTGCTATATTACCTAACCGTTCACATTTATCCTAAAATACTGTGCTATATTACCTAACCGTTCACATTTATCCTAAAATACTGTGCTATATTACCTAACCGTTCACATTTATCCTAAACTACTGTGCTATATTACCTACCTGTTCACATTTATCCTAAACTACTGTGCTATATTACCTAACCGTTCACATTTATCCTAAACTACTGTGCTATATTACCTAACCGTTCACATTTATCCTAAACTACTGTGCTATATTACCCACCTGTTGTTTTTGTGCCTCCATTCTGTCTGGAGCAGAGGAGTTTTGTCTAGCAAGAAATGAAATCATCTGCTGGTTTTTCCCCTGTAATTAATATTAAAAAATAAATAAAATGTATCCAATATAATGGCTCCTTCCCCACTCCCCTCACGATAAATGATCATTTAAACCCTGGTTTTTACAAATAAGAATTGGTTTATATTGCCATCAGAGCAGATTTCATAATGTCAAAGTGAACAAACATGGATTTTATTTGTTTAGTTAACTGAGCTAGGTGGATGACACTCATCAGTGACTAGATGATAGAACAAATTAAAAGTAAGAGTAATAAGAAATGAAATAAACAACATAAATCTTGGTACAACACATTAGCAGCAAATGAGACACTCATAACAGAAGCAGTTGATAGATTTTGCAATGATCATTTGTAGAAAAACATTCATTTTCCATAAGAAGCTATTTTTTTTTTTTTTGCTAAATTAAATGAAATCAATTGTGTAAAATAAAAATAAAACTTGATTATGGGATTCCACGCAGACAGAAGTTAATTATAGCTTGAAAAAAATTATTTATATACATTTGAAAAAAAAAGAGTAAAGAATAGTTTTAAAACATTTCTAAAAAAAAAAAAGCCCCAACATTACCACAGTAGCCTTAAAGTCTTGAATTTGTTCAAATTTCCTTCTCAATACTTGTTTTTCATGTTTGGCCCTTTGAATGGCTTCAATCAGTTTGTCAGCCTCAGCTCTCAGACATGGTGCTACAGACCCTTCTATGGCCAACTCAACAACAGCATCAACATACCCTCTAGAGAAAATTTACATTTGTTATTAATTCCGTTTTTTTAATTTGAAATTTGCTTTTTTTACTACAGTCATCATGAGTAGTATGTAACTTTTCATCAATGAGGTTGTCATCTTTCTATTTTTAAGCTTCTGTATAGTTTGCAGTATACATTTGTTTGTTTGTGGAAAAAACTTGTAACTCAATTTTAACTTTTTTTTGGCAGCAATTAGGTTCGAACTTTCCAGATACAGTGATCTCCAATGGTATTTTGAGAATATCTCATTTTTAATCTAATCAGATATTCGTCAACAAACTTGAATGTAAAGATTATAAAATTGAAAAACAAGAAAAGTACTACTGATCAACTTGAATGTAAAGATTATAAAATTGAAAAACAAGAAAAGTACAACTGATCAACTTGAATGTAAAGATTATAAAATTGAAAAACAAGAAAAGTACAACTGATCAACTTGAATGTAAAGATTATAAAATTGAAAAACAAGAAAAGTACAACTGATCAACTTGAATGTAAAGATTATAAAATTGAAAAACAAGAAAAGTACAACTGATCAACTTGAATGTAAAGATTATAAAATTGAAAAACAAGAAAAGTACTACTGATCAACTTGAATGTAAAGATTATAAAATTGAAAAACAAGAAAAGTACAACTGATCAACTTGAATGTAAAGATTATAAAATTGAAAAACAAGAAAAGTACAACTGATTAATCAATCAGCTAGCCAAGGGAGGTAACTGTCAGTTACAGCTGATTGGTTTCTACACACACGCAGAGAGACACACAGAGACACACACACAGAGACACACACACGCACATACATACATGCATATATATATACACTCTAGCTGCACACCCGTGCTTTGGCAAGGTGAATCTTTTTTTCAATGTACCAATATCGGAACAGAACAAAACCAAACACAAGCACAAAGGAAAACAAACGCAAACAAACACAAGCACAACACAATACATGCAAACATAAACACAAATACAAACAAAAAGCAAATGCAAACTCAAACAAAAATGCAAACATAACGTAAAACGCAAACCCAAGACAAACACATAAGAAAACACAAACAGAAACTCATACTCAAACACTTTAACAATTTACACGTTCCCGGACATCAAACGAAAGACTTTCCCACATTCTTTAACCCATTGAGCCCTGGCCTCCCTGACCTAATTTCTCCCATTTCCTGAGCTCCCAGGGCCAAACCAATTTTCACTTATCTGCTTCTAACTTTACCTATAACTTTTGAACCATTTGAGATAATCAAGCCAAATTTGGTATCCAAACTCCGGGTGAAACAACAATGCAGCAAGATTCTGAAATTCTTTATTTTTTTACAATGTTTGAACAGAACAATGTATATAAAACGAATACATAATTATTGTTTTGATAGAACATAGAAGAAACCAATTTACATTTAGTAATTGTTTTGTTATTATTGATACCTGGCCATACTAGTTCATTGCCATAAGTCCACTTTTGTGTGATAACTTTCAAAACAGTTATCACTGCCGGACCCGATGCAAAGAAAAACGTCGCATGTTTTGCACCAGTAAACTTTTTTTTTTCGTTTCGGCAAATCTTTGTCCTTGACACCACGTGCATCAGAACGTACTTGAACAGTTTCATTATCACTGTCAATTTCAATGTCACTGTGTTCAGTATCAAATTCAACGTCACTATCATCACAATATAGACCAGGAATATTATCTTCTTCATCAGAATCAATAAGTAGTTGTATTGCCTGAGATGCAGTCATTCTACTTCTTTTGTTGATATTTCGGTCCTTTGCTTCATCTTTTGCACCAATTTTATGTGATGAAGTCGACGGCTGTGGCTCAGCTTTTCATTTCGGCGGCATTGCTACGAAATGTAAATACTTTCACTTTTCCTAAAAATCAATTTTTAAAATCATAATCCCGCACTCAAAAGACATATGCCCAGTTTTAGTCAGTCTTCCGCTAATTATATTTAATTAAACGGTATACCGGCCGCTAGGAATATGATGCTAGATCATCGGGCCGGAAAACCGGCTTTTCGGACATATATGCCTAATGTTGAAGCCGGTTTACTGGCCTAGCGGGCTCAAAGGGTTAATCCATCCCTTTAAATAACACAAAAAAAATAATGTAGTGATTTTAAGTGATCATAGAAATAAAAAAAAAACAACTATGAAACTCTGCACCGACTAATTAGAAAATAATATAAATAATCTTAATATAAACTATTTTAATTATGAGCCTTAACATATAATAATCAATGCGGTAGAAATAAACATTTTTTTAACTTAAATACTTTAACAGCAATATTTAGCCTGATTTGAATTTCATTTTAAATTACCTCCCCTGGCATAATTATTAAGGGAGGTTTAAGAGAGGTTTAAAGGTTAAATTGAAGGAGGCCCAAAACAATTTTTTTTTGGCCTCCTTCATTTTTCCCTTTAAACATTTTAATTGATTAGTTTTATTTGACACAACTGTTATTAAAATGAATCAATTTTTTCTAGGAATATAAGTGAAAACATTATTTGACATTGAGCCGTTTAATATGTTTTAGCAATGTGCATGTATTTAATATTTTCTTAAAAAAAAAAGGGTAAAAACTTTGTCGAGTATAAAAAAAATTTAAGTCGTTACATAAATAGACCCTACTCCAATCTTTATAAAAAGACAATGCAATGCAAGTGAAATCACGGCATGTGGTGTTTACTTTTATTGTTCCAAAATCGATAGTGATGACGGAAGGAAGGACGGACTGACACACTACCAGCCCGCTTATATTATAGATATATATATATTTACAATAATGATTATATTTATGTGAAATACTCACTTGGCTAGTGGAACATTGCGTGGGTGTTCTCCCATAACCCTGTGAATCTGTTTGCCAATTTCTGCCATGAAATCGTCTAGTCTGGCACTAAGTTTCCACTCTTCATTGTTGTATTCTTGTTCTTTGAACCACCTCAAGACATGCTTCAAGTTACTAGCCTGTGGATTCAAACCATCTCACACCCTGATATACAAACATGAAATATTGGGCAGCTTGATGTAAATAGCATGAAATTGTCATCTGACTTAACCCTTTGAGCCCTGGCCTCCCTGACCTAATTTCTCCCATTTCCTGAGCTCCCAGGCCCAAACCGATTTTCACTTATCAGCTTCTAACTTTGCCTATAACTTTTGAAGCATTTGAGATAATCAAGCCAAATTTGGTATCCAGACTCAGGATCAAACAACAATGCAGCAAGATTCTGAAATTCTTTTTTTTTTACAATGTTTGAACAGAACAATGTATATAAAACGAACACATAATTATTGTTTTGATAGAACAGAGAAGAAACAAATTTACATTTAGTGATTGTTTTGTTATTATTGATACCTGGCCATACTAGTTCATTGCCGTAAGTCCACTATTGTGTGATAACTTTCAAAACAGTTATCACTGCCGGACCCGATGCAAAGAAAAAATTCGCATGTTTTGCACCAGTAAACTTTTTTTTTTCGTTTCGACTAGTCTTTGTCCTTGACACCACTTGCATCAGAACGTACTTGAACAGTTTCATTATCACTGTCAATTTCAATGTCTCTGTGTTCAGTCTCAAATTCAACGTCACTATCATCACAATATAGACCAGGAATATTATCTTCTTCATCAGAATCAATAAGTAGTTGTATTGCCTGAGATGCAGTCATTCTACTTCTTTTGTTGATATTTCGGTCTTTTGCTTCATCTTTTGCAGAAATCGACGGCTGTAGCTCAGCTTTTCGTTTCGGCGGCATTGCTACGAAATGTAAACACTTTCACTTTTCCTAAAAATCAATTTTTAAAATCATAATCCAGCACTCAAAAGATATATGCGCAGTTTTAGTCAGTCTTCCGCTAATTATATTTAATTAGACGGTATACCGGCCGCTAGGAATATGACGCTAGATCATCGGGCCGGAAAACCGGCTTTTCGGAGATATATGCCTAATGTTGAAGCCGGTATACCGGCCTGGCGGGCTCAAAGAGTTAATCCCTTAATGCCGGAATTATGTTCCAAGCGTGTACAAAATTATTTGTGCTGATTTTCTCTCATCATACTGACACTGAATTTGAGGTATATAGTTGTTTTGAAATTTTGACATATTTTTGATTCAGGCACTAATGGACCAAACAGTAATTCAATTTTTTTAGTGCATGTCATTTTACTATTTTTACTGATACGTATTTCTCTAAATATCCATGCACAAACAATATAATATCACAAAATACACATATGGACTTGCAATGGAGATATAGACTCACTTGTAAAATTCATGAAAACTATAGTTTTAGTTCTTTGGGCATAGAGTTACATAACTCTGCTGCACCTGCTCACTGTGTACCTCTTATGAATGGGTACTTTGAAACTTTGCTGTCGTGGTTCTACTACACTACAGTAACACACTACATATGAAAGTAATGAAAGGACTTCTTCAATGTGTATAGCCTTAGTTGTCCCTGGTTACGCTTTTCGTGAACTCCTTTTCAAGGTCAAATAATTAAGAAGCATATATCTCATTTGACCTATATTTGCTATTCACACAAAGCACTTGAAAAAATACTGTCCTAAATGACAAGGTTCAGCAGTTGTATATTCTTCCACGCTCAATGCAGCTGCTGTGGGTACTCAGTGCCACCGGTGTGGTACTTACTGTTATTGTTTATGGTACCCAATATTTCTGATTTTGGTACTACATGCTACTGCTGTTGTACTGGAATGATACTGCTATGGATACCCAAATTACAGTGCTGTAGCTAAATATTGCCACCGCTATGGGTACTTCGTGCTGAAACTGTGGTTACTCAGTGTTGAAGCTGTGGGTACTCACTGTTGAAGCTGTGGGTACTCACTGTTGAAGCTGTGGGTACTCAGTGTAACTGTAATCTGTTCTTGGCGTGGGTAATCAGCGCTAATGCTGTTAGTAATCGATAACATTGCTGTGGGTACTCAGTATCAATGCTGTGGGTACTTAGTGCTGAATCTGTGGGTGCTCAGTGTCAATGCTGTGGGAACTTAGCAGTGGGTACTCAGTATCAATGCTGTGGGTACTTAACAGTGGGTACTCAGTATCAATGCTGTGGGTACTTAGTGCTGAATCTGTGGGTGCTCAGTGTCAATGGGTATTTTTGTCATTATTCAACCTTACTGTATTTATCAAGAGTTTTAGGTCTATGCTCAGTGTTATTAATGTCATGATCACTGTGAAGACCTTTCTTTTGGGGTATCCAGGATAGTGGTGCACCACCTCACTTCCTGTCTATTTATTTTTTATGTTCTAATATTTTACAATGCTATTTCAAAGCTAAATTTGTTATATTATAACCAGCATGTTCAAATTATTCTAATATCACTCTCTCTCAATATGCCAAGGTCAATGAAACAGTTGAACTCTACTTCACCAGCCAAATGGACCGTAACATTCTAAAGTGCACTTCTATATATAGGCGAAGACTATATTGTAAATCATTTACTTATTTGTAAACATACTTGAAGAAATGACAGCGTGGCGATGCATCTTATTTTGTTCACACCCAAGTACAATTTTGTCTTGTTGCCGGATGTCGCGAAAACACAACAAACCGTAATCAGACGATAACTTTCTAAATTATTATCATATGTGAATTATACTGTTTATATACAGAAAAGAATGAATAGAAAAGATATTAGTATTTTTTGTAGTAAAAACAGATCACCTATTTAGTAACAATAATCGATGTAAGTAGGCTGAATTCAGTAAGTCAAAAAATTTACGATGCGCGTGAGTCAAGTGAGTGTGACGTCATAAATTTCGACTTGACAATGTGACCATTAGTTCCTATACGACCGCCTGGATGTACCCAATACACAACGACTGCCTGGATGTACTCAATACACAACGACCGGCAGCAGTAGGATAAATGTACCTATGCACAAAATCTGTATGTCGCATTTTTGTGAGTCGGCGTCGAGGGGTTAAGGTTGAGTAAATGCCAGTAAAAAAATAACTCACCTCTAATAGCTCTTTGACACTTTTTTCTACAGTTGGTGGAGATGAGACATCTTTCAAACCACTTTTGCTGCCATATGAAAATCTGGAAAAAAATAATTGAGAAAACTATCAGTAGAAGCTTTAAATAAATTGCTATTCATATTTAGACCAATCTGTTTAGTACAGTGTTCACAATTGTTTTTCATAGGCGCATTCACCAAACCCTTTTTACTAGGAGAAAAATAAAATGATTTTTGAGCCAAATGCAAAACATACATATATGTTTTATTAGTGCACAAAATGAACCGTGCATCAAAATTGCTGCATTTAAGTATGATTTTCACACAAAAACATAATAATGCAAGTCAGTGTGACTTTTGCTGTTGCTTTTAAACACCAGTTCAGAAATGCGCTGCTTCACCTTAAAGTAAGGGAGCAATGTGTTCCTGCATTTTCCATCTCCATGCAGCTTAAGAAAGTGCTCTCTTAGTTTAGTAAGCGCTAGACTAGAATTTGGCATTGCTGCAACTCTTGCAGTTAGGACTTGCAGTAAGGATGCTTGACTCCCATTAAGTTCCGTTATACATGTGAATCCACACTGTACATATTTGTCTTTTTTTTGCTCAACATCTATACATATAATTCTCTTCTGGGATCAGTTAGAAAACAAGCTGCAAGCGCGCCTTTGCAGTCCCCTCTCTTCCTCTCTATCACTATCACCCCCACCCCACCCCCACATGATCTGGTGAGCGGTGTTCACTCTGTTTACATTTTACAATCATAGAGACGGGTTTGGTGACGGCTATTAGGGGCAGATAATTTAGTTTGAAACGATTTTAAACTTAGAGGAGGTAACTAAGAGGAGGCTGCTTTCACGTGGGGGGGGGGGGGGGGTTAGTGTTTTTAAGCAAATATTTTCAATGGCAGCATTGGTACTGTCGAATTCACAAATTATAAATTACTGAAAAGTAGAAAAAAAAAAAACTAAATAGCGGCGTATGATACGCAGCGGGTCAGCTCGTAGGGATTAAAATATTAAGAGAGAGCTCACTTCACAGCCACGATTTAGAAATACACAATGAATGCTCTCTTGTATAGGTTGAGATGATTCGTGATGTAGTGACCTCATGGGTTTCTGATAAAGAAATATCAGAATACCAAAATCTTATTAATATGTTGTGCTGTGGTATTTGAACTTTCATTGGCTTCTAGTTCTATCGTCTGCACTGACTAAATCCTATTGCAAATCTTAAGAGTTGGGTGTGTATCTTGACCCACCGAACCCCTGAGACTGACTCACCAAACCCTTAGGGTTCAATCAAACCCAGGTTGAAAACCACTTGTTTAATACCCTAAATACTTAACAGATTGCTCTCCCACCAGATCTATGTTTATCTACCTACTTTCTGATTGCTATATTACACACACATAGACACACTGACAGACAAAGAGAGACAGACAGACTGATACAGAGAGAGATACAGAGGCAGATATATATCTCTAACACTACTTATCAGTCTATAGTAGCTAGTTGCACAAGTAAATAAAATATGACGTCACAGGCTCTAAACCTTTCGTGCACAATAAAATCTAATTAAATGTAGTCGTCTGCATTGCTATGTTAACCATTTAAAAAACGATAGAACGTGGTTATGATTCCAATCATATATGCCCTCCTTATTAGCAGCGGTTATTGGACGTTACCGCCGTATAATTTTTATTTCAACTTTTTACTTGTTTTTGTTAATCTCATATTGAGTTTAAAAGGTGAGTTTTCAAAAATTTACATGAAATAGTAGAACATTGAGACTAACTCTGTTTTTAGTAGGATTATCTTCATTTTTTATTAAGCTTTCTAACAAGCATACTTATTTTAGGTTTATCCGTTTAGCAGACTATGCAATGTCTCACGAACTAGGTACCCTATTAGCGGTATCGATACCGCATTTTCATGTTCCTTCGTTTTATATGAATTATGTCACCAATTTTTATACATTGTTTTTTCTTAAAGAATTTTAATAATTAAACTAGTAAATGAGAGGATTCAAAGATAATAAATTAACCTTTTTAAAATAGTAAAAATTGTATGAATCGAGCTAATATGTTGCGGCCTGTACTACGTGCTACTAATGATTGAATTAGGTATACGATAACTCAACACAAAGTTGAAATTAACTTATACATATAATGATTTAAAACTAAAAATAATGACACTAGGTTTGATTTGAGTAAGACTATACGATTTTTAGTTTAATTTTTTAACTACGAAAATTATCTTTTTCGTAATGCATTATAATAATAGAGGCTTAAATCTAAAAATCGAGAAAAACGGTATCGCTAATGTTTTGTCGCTATATCCGTTGGTATTTTGATCAACTAAAATGAGAAAACATTCAGACTTGATTTGAATTTAGTGTGAGTCAGTACATTTTTAATGTTATTTTCACAAATGTTTTTACTTTCTTCTTCAGACGCTCACAAGCTGTAAAACTCGACTAACAAAATAGATACCGTAGGCCTAAGTATTAGCGATATCGATTCTACCTTTCTCCATTTTCGTATTCCGTTATATTTGTTTTATATTATTAGGCCATTAAGTCTATTTAAAATGTAAAATAAAGATGTATCTAAGCTGTCTTAAACATTATAAGCCAAAGGTCGAAATTATTAATTGAATAGTGGTTAAATTCACTAAGTAGACTGTGCGGGATCCAAATCTTTTTAATATAAGAAATGTTAGTTAAAAACACAACATTTTAGTTTTTACGAGTGTGTTCATTCTATTGTAACAAGCTGAATGTGTACACTGATAGTCTTCATTTATTTCATATCCCATTACTTTATCTTGCTAAAGAATAAAATATACCCTTGTAAACAAACGCCTATATTTATTTGCTTGATGCCCACTCACACTCAAATAACGATTGTATGAGGAGGGGGGGGGGACTTTCTGAGTAAAAGACCTTTGAGTCGGGTGTTAATTGAGTTGCTTTTGTTAAGTTAGTGTGATTGATTTTTTACTACATCTAAAATAAAGTTGAAAGTATGTAAAGTATGGTTGATAAGTTAGCTATGTAGTACTGGGGTACCTTTTGTTTTTCTAAACGTGGTACGGAATTGAATCTGCCTTTCATCGGCCACAAATAAAGGCACCCTTTTTTTACACAAATTCCCCTCCCCATCCATAGCTTATCCTCATTGTTGTAAGACATTTTTCCAGACCCGGTATCCCCAAGTGTGGTCTAGTATGTAGTACGCTCGCTAACTAAACTGATAGATCGGTATCCGACCTGGTGACCGTAGGTCATCCCACGACCAAGCTGTCCATCACGTTCAAAACCAGGTGGCAAGATGTCGTATTTAAAACTGGAGGCAAATCCCGGACAGAAACCCTCGTGTCTAGCGTCTGTCTACGTAGCTGTGTGAAATGCTCGATTCTTGATAACGTTGCTGTTTGTTTCGCGCTAGCTATGTTCAGTTATCTAACGACACCCAAAGATTATCTCTTAACTGACATGCTTCCAATATGTCAAAAACACTCATATGTTGCACTGTACTGAGCTGTCTCTATTATACCGTTTGCCTAGGAATTAGGAGTGTTTATTCTTTTTTACTCAGCCAGTTTCTTTTATTTTTACTATTACTATGACGTTTGAGTTAAATTATTGAATATATCCAGTGGTTTATTTTTATTTAAATGATTTTTAATAAGCCACTTTTAAATTAAATAATTTATTAATATCTTTGTAGAGATGCTCATTTTTTAAAAAATGTATGTAAAAATACTTATTTGAAAATTTTATTATTGTGCGCCTACGCAGAGTTATTTCCCTTTCGCCTTTTTCTACACTCTCGACGTGACCACTTTTTGCTTTCATTTTCCATAGGCTTAGTTGTCCCCGCAATTTTTACACCGAAACCGTCATATCTAGAGAACCGTTTATCCTATAAACATAAATTTGGTATCATTTTGCAACATTTAGTCCCCTTTATACAACCCCGGCGTTATTTTGTCATTTTAATCATTTAAAAAACATGTGCAACGAGCTAGTCTATAGTATCTGAAATAAAATTAGTAAAGAATAGATACAAAAGATCTAAGCTAATGACTGTCAGGAATATAAAAGGAATCATATTACATGTGTAGATATTCTTTGCTGGCAACTTTAACACTTGCCATTAGGATGCTGCTGTTCTAATATACAGGGTCCCCAGAATTATATTGATTTTGAATTTTTATGTTATTTTCATCATACAAAAATCATTGAACTATAAAACATTTTTGCAAAATTAGATGAAATAAATCTTCAAAAAAGGCAGAATAAATATATAAACTTCAGCTTTAGCATAAAACTTTGACAACTGAGAGAAAAACTGGATGAATAACCTTTATATAATTTGTACCAATACTGTACTAAAAGAACCGTCAATACTAGATTAGGTAATCCTTCTGCCGGATCAAAATCTCTTATGTCTTTTTAAGGAGATTTCCCTCTTATTCATAAGATTTCTTGACTTTCCCTGTTGCAAAATTTATTTTCCTTCAATGAAACCTCAACCACTATGCCTCCCCACTCCATCCAATCACTAGCCATGATTAAGATCAGCAGTCCAGTTTATTAAATGTAAAAATGTAAATGAACTACCTAAAAAACTGATTTTTGTTATAAAAGGAAATTCCATTTAATTATCTGAGATGATTATTAAAAAAAAAGTATTATTTTATCTCTAAGAACAAAAGTGATGATTACAAATGTTCATTTAATAATTAACCACTGTACATCACAGGTGTAATTTGTAGCTTAAGTGTCTCGTCCATCATTTAACCATGCTTGACTTCATCCTCTTTACTCCTTGTGGGTCCCAACCCTAACCTTCCAATTTGTTTGGTTCCCAGCTGTTGATTCTGCAACCTCCCAAGACATACCCCTATTGACTTCTTCAATTATACAAGAAGACTCCGGTTCCATATCTGTCTTGGGCGTTACCTCTTTTGCTTTCCCGAGTTCCACTCAAGCGCCTGGAGTGTTGCATTAAAGTGAGCTTTTCATATTGTGTTCTTTTAAATAGGTCTATATTCTGAACTTTGACTCGTCACTTCAATTTCAAAATTTAAGACAGCTGTTCATGAAGGTCTGTATCATCTCTGTGCTTGCCTTGGAGACTATGTCTCTGCTCCATAGAACAAAACTGCCTTGAAATTAGAACTTTAAACTTTTGGTGTGTTGGAGATGGTACAATTTTTCCACATGGGAAGCAGAACTGTGAAAGTGTGGTACAATTTTTCCACATGGGTAGCAGAACTGTGAAAGTGTGTTACAATTTTTCCACATGGGTAGCAGAACTGTGAAAGTGTGGTACAATTTTTCCACATGGGTAGCAGAACTGTGAAAGTGTGTTACAATTTTTCCACATGGGTAGCAGAACTGTGAAAGTGTGGTACAATTTTTCCACATGGGTAGCAGAACTGTGAAAGTGTGTTACAATTTTTCCACATGGGTAGCAGAACTGTGAAAGTGTGGTACCATTTTTCCACACAGGTAGCAGAACTGAGAAAGTGTAGCTTTTTCTATTTATTTTAGAACATATGTCCTCCCCTTTGCCTCCCCATTTGCTGATCTTGCTGCTAAGGTAGACAAATTTCTCGACATTATTTACATGTCTTCCGTCTATTGTTACTGGGGCCTCTTCATTATTGTTGGTTTTCATTACTTCCATATTTTCTTTCTTGATCTTGAGACCTACACTCTGTGAGATTTCTTGCACATCTTGAGACCTACACGCGGTGAGATTTCTTGCACATCTTGAGACCTACACGCGGTGAGATTTCTTGCACATCTTGAGACCTACGCGCTGTGAGATTTCTTGCACATCTTGAGACCTACATGCGGTGAGATTTCTTGCACATCTTGAGACCAACGCGCTGTGAGATTTCTTGCATGTCTTGAGACCTACACGCTGTGAGATTTCTTGCACGTCTTGAGACCTACGCGCTGTGAGATTTCTTGCACGTCTTGAGACCTACACGCTGTGAGATTTCTTTCACGTCTTGAGACCAATGCGCTGTGAGATTTCTTGCACGTCTTGAGACCTACACGCTGTGAGATTTCTTGCACGTCTTGAGACCTACGCGCTGTGAGATTTCTTGCACATCTTGAGACCTACGCGCTGTGAGATTTCTTGCACATCTTGAGACCTACATGCTGTGAGATTTCTTGCACGTCTTGAGACCTACACGCTGTGAGATTTCTTGCACGTCTTGAGACCTACACGCGGTGAGATTTCTTTCACGTCTTGAGACCAATGCGCTGCGAGATTTCTTGCACGTCTTGAGACCTACACGCTGTGAGATTTCTTGCACGTCTTGAGACCTACGCGCTGTGAGATTTCTTGCACGTCTTGAGACCTACACGCTGAGAGATTTCTTGCACGTCTTGAGACCTACACGCTGTGAGATTTCTTGCACGTCTTGAGACCAATGCGCTGTGAGATTTCTTGCACGTCTTGAGACCTACACGCTGTGAGATTTCTTGCACGTCTTGAGACCTACGCGCTGTGAGATTTCTTGCACGTCTTGAGACCTACACGCTGTGAGATTTCTTGCACGTCTTGAGACCTACGCGCTGTGAGATTTCTTGCATGTCTTGAGACCTACACGCTGTGAGATTTCTTGCACGTCTTGAGACCTACACGCTGTGAGATTTCTTGCACGTCTTGAGACCAATGCGCTGTGAGATTTCTTGCACGTCTTGAGACCTACACGCTGTGAGATTTCTTGCACGTCTTGAGACCTACGCGCTGTGAGATTTCTTGCACGTCTTGAGACCTACACGCTGTGAGATTTCTTGCACGTCTTGAGACCTACACGCTGTGAGATTTCTTGCACGTCTTGAGACCAATGCGCTGTGAGATTTCTTGCATGTCTTGAGACCTACACGCGGTGAGATTTCTTGCACATCTTGAGACCTACGCGCTGTGAGATTTCTTGCACATCTTGAGACCTACATGCGGTGAGATTTCTTGCATGTCTTGAGACCAATGCGCTGTGAGATTTCTTGCACGTCTTGAGACCTACACGCTGTGAGATTTCTTGCACGTCTTGAGACCAATGCGCTGTGAGATTTCTTGCATGTCTTGAGACCTACACGCGGTGAGATTTCTTGCACATCTTGAGACCTACGCGCTGTGAGATTTCTTGCACATCTTGAGACCTACATGCGGTGAGATTTCTTGCACGTCTTGAGACCAATGCGCTGTGAGATTTCTTGCACGTCTTGAGACCAATGCGCTGTGAGATTTCTTGCATGTCTTGAGACCTACACGCTGTGAGATTTCTTGCACGTCTTGAGACCTACGCGCTGTGAGATTTCTTGCACGTCTTGAGACCTACACGCGGTGAGATTTCTTTCACGTCTTGAGACCAATGCGCTGCGAGATTTCTTGCACGTCTTGAGACCTACACGCTGTGAGATTTCTTGCACGTCTTGAGACCTACGTGCTGTGAGATTTCTTGCACGTCTTGAGACCTACACGCTGTGAGATTTCTTGCACGTCTTGAGACCTACACGCTGTGAGATTTCTTGCACGTCTTGAGACCAATGCGCTGTGAGATTTCTTGCACGTCTTGAGACCTACACGCTGTGAGATTTCTTGCACGTCTTGAGACCTACGCGCTGTGAGATTTCTTGCACGTCTTGAGACCTACACGCTGTGAGATTTCTTGCACGTCTTGAGACCTACACGCTGTGAGATTTCTTGCACGTCTTGAGACCTACACGCTGTGAGATTTCTTGCACGTCTTGAGACCAATGCGCTGTGAGATTTCTTGCACGTCTTGAGACCTACACGCGGTGAGATTTCTTGCACATCTTGAGACCTACGCGCTGTGAGATTTCTTGCACATCTTGAGACCTACATGCGGTGAGATTTCTTGCACATCTTGAGACCAACGCGCTGTGAGATTTCTTGAGACCTACACGCTGTGAGATTTCTTGCACGTCTTGAGACCTACGCGCTGTGAGATTTCTTGCACGTCTTGAGACCTACACGCGGTGAGATTTCTTGCACGTCTTGAGACCAATGCGCTGTGAGATTTCTTGCACGTCTTGAGACCTACACGCTGTGAGATTTCTTGCACGTCTTGAGACCTACGCGCTGTGAGATTTCTTGCATGTCTTGCAGCTGCTGTGAGAGTAGGACAAGATCATCTGCAAACTCTAGATCCTCTAATTTCCCTGTGAGTGTCCAATGTATACCTTATCGAGGACACTCTAGATCCTCTAATTTCCCTGTGAGTGTCCAATGTATACCTTATCGAGGACTGGCATAGGCTCTGCATGTCACCCAATTGAGAACCACCAAGAAGAGACGGGGCGACAACATACATCCTGGTGGTGACCTGAAACTCTTCAGACAGTTTCTCAGCATGGCTAACTTGGCATGAAAATCCATTGTAAAGTTGCTGAAATATTTCCACTAATTTTATTTTCCATGTACACCTAGTGTCTCAACAAAATCCATATTGCTTGCCTATCCTCACTTCTCAAATTCAACAAAGCAGATGTAAAGATGTAAAATTATTAAAAGTATCAAATACTGTACTTTGAGCTAATTCAAACTAGATCTAGGTGGTATGTTTGGGCCATTAAAAATGTATGAAACTAAATTTCCTTTGATACATGCTTTAAGTGTGCCAAAAGCAATATGATAACACACTAGCCTTCGGTACCCGTTACACGTGAATTATAGGCCTATATATTTTTAATGTTATACAAATTTGGAAATAATAAGTTATAAAATAGTTATTGCTCAAAATGCAACACTACACACTGAGATATTAGTAACAAAACAAAGAAATAAGTAAATAGCTAAAAATCCAACACATTTAATTAAACAAAGGCTACCAATATCCTAATATTTTATAAAATAGTTATGTGTTTTTTTTAAATGTAATTTGTATTAGTTTGACCGATAAAATTGTATATATTTCATAGCGTATGTCTTGATAAGTAGATCTAAAGATCTAGATAAAATTTGAATGAAATAGTTCCTTTCTTTATATTCTAAAATCGGAAGATTCACATATAAAAAACAAATTGAAAAAAAAAAGCAATTTGAGTTTTTGTGTCTCGAACCCGTACCGCCCGCATGGTATCAAGTACACAATCATCTCAGCTATTTAGCACCTTATAATTGATGAAGAATAAAAGACGTAGTTAAGAAATTTAACTTACGCAAATAGGCCTATTCTTTCAATTTTTTAAATCCCAAATTAGCCAATTCCATAGCTAAACAAACAAAGATTTCTATAAAATAATAGTTTAATATAGATCTAGAAATTTATTATTGAAATAGATTCTAGAGTAGAGTCTAAATTTAGAATCTAGGCCTAGATCTAGAATTTAAATAGATAAAGTAAATTTTATAAGTTTAGGCTGAGGAAATTGTATTGTATAGATCTAGATTTCATAGCGTACGTAGATCTAGATCTAAATCAAAGTTGAATGAAATAGTTCCTTTCTTTATATTCTAAAATCAGAAGATGACGTCATTAGTTTAGAGTACTTTCCTAAGTGTAAACATTTGAAAAATCGCGTTCTTGTCACAACTATAAACACTTTTCCGGTTGCATATTTAAAATTGTTTTTCTACATATGAATATGCCTTTATATTTTATTTTTCTTCTTTAAATAAAATGTTGTTTATACATTTAAAAAATCTACCATATTATTTTCAACAAAAGTCCGTATCAAATTCTCCATATATCGCTGAAGATTCTGATGTGATACCCTGCGAAAATATTTTGCGGACAGAGAGAGAGAGAGAGAGAGAGAGAGAGAGAAGTGCGCACATGGGCTTTTATATTATTAGGATTGTTTAAGAAAATTTTTTTCATTCAAAAGTTTATTCAGTAAATAAAGGGTTAATAGAAACTAGAAAATTTGGTAAACATAATTGACTACTTCAGTACTACCCTTAAGTGCTCTTCAAATTTGACTGACCTCAAATTCAAGGCATCTTTGGTTATGTTAACGCCTAAAGTCTCCTCTCGAATTTGGCGAGTCTCTCGTCCTGCATTTGTTGAGAGAGAAGATACTAGTTCTGCAATAGAATGAACTGAAGCTGTTTTTTCTACCCATCTCCATAATTCCAGCTCTGCTTTTTTCCTAAATTATAAAGAAACTTATTATAGTTAAAAATAATCAAAATTGAACAATATTGCAGTATTATATTTTTGGTTGAAAGCCTACTACAGTTAGCACTATTCAAAGTCTCATAAATCTATGATAAAAATGTGAGAATAGAATTTTTAAAACCCAGTATCATAATACAATTAACTTACAAACAGTCTTGATTGGAGGTCAATGTTCTATTAAATATTCCATGAAGAAATGTTTTAATTTCAGCACAAGTCAGTCTCACATCTTTCTACAAAATGAATACAACAGTTGCCATTTGATAAAGAGCTTAAGATAGTTAGATTAAAGATTAAAATAAGTAATAATAATAAAACAGATAGACTTAGTCTCCTGACAAAATTAGACAATGCATTGGTCACTGGTTTTCGTTTCATTCATCTTTACCAAAAAAAAAAAAACTGTTGCTGGCGGGAAGACCTTGAGTTTAACATCCTTTGTTCTTTTCTCTAATCACTCACTTCCTTAGTACTTGTCTTTAAACTGTCACATCCTTTGTACTCAGAATTTAATCTGTTATCGTACTAACTATATTTTTAAGAACAATATTATAAGGCACTAACCAAAGATGAAACTAAATAGAAGATACACAATTAAAAACCAGCGACTGAAGCAGAAATTTGAAAGCTAAATATACAAATCTGAAAAATCCTTTTTCCACTACCTGACTTTCACTTTCTAGAACATCAGCATGGTGTCCAGGAGTAACAAATCTTTCATTAGGGCAATCTCTAACAATGGATAAAGGGACAGCTATTAACTATTTGAATCAAATGGATAAAACAGTTGGCACTCCTATATTACATGCCAAGCAAACTGAGTTAGTTTAGTCAGCTGAGATTAAAATGAATGGTTGTTTGCCAAGACATTTCATATTGTCATCAAGTCACTCAGATATAAAAGAAAAATAAAAATATTCAGATCCACAGCATAAGTATAGATAACATATAAGGTGTCATATATCATCTCAGACAGGTTGTACCTCCACCCACCTAACATCATGAAAAAAAAAAGTACAGGAGCAATTTAAAAAATGTCTGTGTCCGCTCAAGCCAACTAAATTCAGTGCCAATTTAATAAATAAAAAAAATCAGCAAAAAAAGACATTACAATTTTTTTAAAAACCAAGGTGAAATAATAACCCTAACCCAAGTTAAATGACCGAGCCATTACCTGTGTTCTGTTAAAACTCTCCACCGATCAAGGACAAACTGTGTATATCTGTCATACATGAGGATTTGTTCTTGTCCACATCTTCTGACAACTTGTAAAAAACTTTCTTTCTTCTGGACATCTCGGACTCGTTGACTTACACTTTGATAAGCAAGTTCTGACAAGTTCAAGAAACCAACAGTTGATCACTTTGATTTATATATATAAATATGTATATAAATATAGATATATATATAAATATTAGACGTTCCAGCCAGGCCCGGATATTTGAGATAAACTTATCTATAAAGGACCCCGATGTGTGCTAATTAGGCAGCATATATCCTGCCCTCCCCAGGGTTCGGGAATATATAACATTTTCAATTAAACAATGTAAATATGAAAGTATGAGAAAATATAAATGCAAACATAAACCTATATGCAAAAAAAAAAAATGCGAGCAAAAACGCGAACTTAAATACAAATTTAAAAGTTCTTCCAAAGCTCATTTTATTTTGTAAAGTCAAGCACTTGGACAAAAAAGGTTGAGAAACGTTTCCCTTGTGTACAAAAAACAACATCCATCTGGCAAGTTACACACCTATACATTCTGTTCAGTTCAAGAAATCATGCACCATCAGTAGTAAAACACATGAGGAAGTAATTCCCTACAGTGAAGTTATCAAGAAAAAATATCAGCATTGACAAGCAAAAGGTCAAAGATACAAATTTCATTAACAAGTATTTCTGTGATAACAGCATTTCCAATAACTTGAAATGTGTTAGTATCATTAATATGATACCCAATTGCTGATGTTCCATTTAATCATCACATAATTGTGTGCAAATCAATTTTTAAAAAAATGATTAATGTTTTTGTCTAGTTCAAATCTGACTTGAGGTATTAATGTTCAAATAAAACGGAAATAAATACTAAAGTCTATAGTATAGGGTATTTATATTATTATTTTTCCTGTATAGGCCTACTCTAAAGGCATGTTAAAACAATATCAAGCCATGAGTTAGAAAACTAAAAAAAAAAAGTGGAGTTACAAGTGTCTATGAAAGATAATAAATATATATGTATATATATATATATATTATGCTGAACTGGATTCTATGATCATCATTGTGTAATACATTTAAAGTGTGAATTTTTGTAATGAAATCTAAACTGATGTGTAAAAACTCAATATTGAACATTTTCAATTGAGGTAATGTGCTAAGAACAAAATCAAACTTTCCGTTTCTGTTATTGTTTACGTTTGTGCTTAAGTTTGCGTTTATGTTTGTGCTTGTGTACGCATTTTTATTGGCATTTATGTTTATGTTTCGGATTAAGTTAGTGTTTAGTTTTGTATTTATGTTTATATTTCCACTAAAGTTTGCATTAGCATTTATGTTTGCATTTAACATTTGAGTTTATGTTTGCTTTATTTTTTGTACTTGTTTCGTTAAAGTTTTTGTTTGCATTTATGTTAGCATATAAATTTATGTTTCTATTTGCATTTATTTTTATGTTTATGTTTCCGTTTAAATTTTTTTTTTTTTGCATTTTTCTTTTCACAAATGTCCATATTTACATATAGACCTTTAATTGAACATTTTATATATATAATATATAGACTCTGTGTCAGAGAGAATTGTGGCTGACATGCCATAGTAAAAAACTCTACTTAATTGCCATTGTGTAACATTTAAAACCTGTTCATTTTGATGATTCAAAAACTCATTATTGATCATTTTCAAATTATTTAAGAACAAAATTACCCATAACTAAAATTACAATTTTGTTTGAAAAAATTATATAAATTACACCCCTTTGTACCAATTACTTCAATAGATATACAACTTACAAAAAATAAATATAAGCAGAATTTTTAATACTTTTTTTTAAAAGTTTGTTTACATGTTTAAAAAAAATCATATAATCATCATAGATTGATAAAGAGCAATGTGGTAGGTAAAAACAGTTATTTTAAATTCTGCCTTTAAGGGCAGGTTAAACCCCCAAATTGAAATTTAGGTGTTAGGACTTTTTTGAGTGATAAGGAAGTTGTAACTAGCATAGTATATGAAAAAAATGCAAAAAAATCACTAAAAAGTTATGGTTTTGAGAAAATATTTTCTAAAAAGTGTCATTTTTAGGGTAAAATAGCTCAAAATTAGCTCTCATTGAAATCAAAATAACACAG